ATGTGGAGGTTATATATATTCAGAACACTGCACTGTTTGATGTGGTGTAAGTGTGTGTAGGCTACAGGCAATTTCATCAGCTTCATGGGTTGACTTACAGAAGTAATTATGATGATGATAGCAGCACAATAACAATAATTTGCAACTAGTCTAAAGGTTGGTGACATGGTTCTCTGGGTTTCTCCGAGGATATCACAGGGGAAGTAGCACTGAGTTGAGGAGAGGAAATGGCATACGGAATCTTCATGAAGAAATATGCAGTTTTCCCATGGTGTTTATGAGATAATATGTATGGGAAGTTGGCTAGATTTTTCAAGTGTATACAGAAACAAAGGTGTGAGACAATTCTGTAAATACAAAAATATGCACCATACTAGAATATGTGTTAGGGAACCAGGGCTTACTGCAGTTCCCTCTTAACTCTAGTGGAAAACCAGAATTTCTCTCTGTGTGAAGAATGAGTTGTCATTGCACAATCAAGGCAGATAAGCTTGAAAAGTCCGGCCCTAAACAAAGAACTATTCAAAAACCAAAGCTAGACTTATGGGAGGGGAAATGGGATCAGAATACACTAGCAAAGAAAGTATGGATGGGGAAAAGTAGTCTTCACATTCTCAGAGGCACCTTCTACAGCAAGGATGAACAGACCTTTGGCTTTCAGGATCTACTTTATTTTTTATTAGAGCCTTGAGCAAGTTGCACAAGAATAGAGCAGACAGGCAAATGTGTGCTAAGAATTAAGGAGCAGCATATCTTTGAGTACATGCTCAGCCCAGGAACTTGTGATCAGTATCAGACCCACATACAGAACCTTGAGGGCTTGCATTAGAGCCCTTAAATGACAAGAGCTGTGTCAGAGCTTGGATGTATATTTCCTACACCTGTAATCTGAATGGGAATTAGAACCCACGACATCTGGAAGGTACCAGGTTAGGGAAGGTTGGTTTAGTTTACGATTCTGGAATGAAGCCGTAAAATCCTTTAAATAGGCAACTTTAGAGTCTTTAGCATAAGCATAAAATGCAGCTTCTTCATATGATTCCCTTTCTACAGGTTTTCCCACAAAACAAAGCAACAAAATCTTTGCGGGGGGGGGGGGGAATGTAAACAGCTCTTTCCTCCAGTATGGAATAAAGAAGGGAGATGTGTTGAGGAATGCCCCTTAAAAATAGTAAGAACAAAAGACGAGGCAAGCATCTTTATTAGAAAAAAAACTCTTTTAGAGGTTTGCAGCTCCAGGTAGACCCATAAAATCCATGTCTAAAAGCCTGCCTAATCTTGGAAGCTAAGTAGAGTCAGGCCTGGTTAGATGGGTGACTTGAGTGTATGATTCTATAACTATTGCTGTAAACCCTCCCAAGAGCTTCAGCTACAGGTGCTATAGAAATGTTAATAATACTTAAATGTACAATTGAAGTTTCTGAGTCACTACACTGCAGTGACTTACTCCAAACCTTCACACACTCTGTGCAGAACCTAATGCCAGAGATGGCCTGCCTTCCTCACTGTCTGACCTTCGCTCTGCCATGGCCAGCTCCTGCTTCTCCTGTGCTCATTGTGGCTGCCACTTGCTGGCCCAAAAGACAGACAGTCACGGAGGCCACGGCCTCCACTGTTGCCTGGGCAAATTTTATCAGCAGGACCTTCTGGGAAGGTCAGCAGGTGCCCAGCCATGCTTAAGCGTCGATGCTGGGCCTGCCCGACCCCTACTTTCTGCATGGACTGGAACCACCATGTTAGGTCTCCATGTTTTCCCAGCAGCTGCTAGGAATGTGGAGTGGAAGGTCTCAGCATATGCTGGGGGCTGGGATGGAGATGACTCACCACAGGGCAGCCATTTTGGACAGCATTTCCATAGCAACGAAGCATGCACCATTTGCCATGCCACTGTTCATTCTTTGGATTCAGGTGACAAAGGAGCTGTATGGTGTGTGTATGTGACAAACAAGGAGGTAAAGGGGGGGCGACATACTATTTCGAACAAACTGAGTCAGAATTTCCTTCAGTAGCTTTTCCTTGTTGAAAACAAATCATGCAACTGGTTCTCCACTGCCCCCTGGTGGAAACAATGAACTCATTCTGGTTCCCCCCCAGCCCCAACCCATCTGTTTCAATTGGAGGTCACGAAGGACAAGATCAGGAGTCCATGTCTGGACTTTGGACCTTCTTCCTGTAGCCCCACCACAGCGCTGGGAATCTTTATGAAGAGCACAGAATCCCCAAAATTTACTCCAACTTCCATCCTCTACTCCCAAATACAATTGACTCCGCTCTGTAACATGAGGTCCCCCTTTACTTATTACTGGGCAACTTTTGATCCTGCAGATGTTTTGGCCTACAGCTCCCATCAGTCCTAATCGGAGCCAGTGGTAAGGAATGATGGGAATTGTGGCCCTTCAAATGCTTTGGCCCACAAGTTGCCCACCACTGTTCTGGTTGGAGAGAGGTTTCTACTAATTGATCAGTTCCTCTCAAGGAACTCTGGGAGGTGTAATTGTGTAGGGATGCCAAACTTGCCCCCTCTGCCCATGGCAGCTTTCCTGGGTAAAGATGCACATGCAAGCAGCAGCCTTCCAGGGCTCTAATCTGCCTCAGGGACAACAGGTTCAGTCTTTAGTATGTCTCAATCCACATTTTCCCTCCCTTGGGGCTGCTGTGTAGTGAATGAAGAAAGAAGAATGAGGGCCACTCATATGCTTAACACCATGTCCAGCCCTTACAGAATTATAATTGCCAGGATGCCAGACAGAAGAGGCCATGAAAATTTGAACTAGTTTTAAATTATTTGTGCTTCTAGGGATGACTGGTGACTCCATGGGGCTCTTCACTCATTGCAGCTTTTCCCTTTCAGCTTTACGGGAGCTATTGGTGCTATTCCACGGTGGTGAACCTATTTTGGGGGTGATATTCAACCCCACAGATATAAAGGCATACAACTCATTCTAAAAGCTGCAATGCTAAAGGACCCCATTGACTTGTATACTCTGAGCACATTCATGCCCCAGGTGGAATGTGCATGCATGACTGTGCATATATGGGGAGTGGGGTGGGAAGAAATTCAGTGTCCTGCATTTGATTTACTTGAAAGCTGCTTGTTGAAATTGTCAGGGAGGCTGAGGACTACAAAGATCCCTGCAGGGTCAGTCCCTTCCATGGTCCACTCTGATGGAGTTGCGTTATTTAGGTCTCCCTTTAGCACCTCGGCTCCACAGCTTAGGACCATCTTGAGCGGTCAGGTGGAGTTGCTGATCACAGCACAGTCATGGAAAAGGACATTATTTGGGATGGCCTGAGCACCTGCCACGAGAAAAGGAGTGGCTACCACCGAACCTTTCTCCCTGTTGCCGAGATCGCAGAACTTCTGCTTTCCATAGCAGTGGTAGGTAACTGGTGCCCTCCAAATATTTTGGATCATTCCTGGCCGTGGACCATGCTGGCCAGCAGAGACAGCTAGAAGTTGCAGCCCGAAACTCAGGAGAGCACCAAGCTTCCAACTCCTTCCAGAAATATCACAAGTCTCCCACTCCATCAAAACTCCTATTTTCACCTGCTCAGGACTAGCTCCAGATTTGAGGGAGTACCGGGCAAAGCCCTCTAGTAGGCCCCCTCCTGTTAGCAGGCCTTAGCAACCGTACCTGGGAGGGGAGAGCCTCTCTGATAAATGCACAGACATCAGAGTGGGGAGGGCTTTTTAGGTCTAATTTCTTCATGTTTCACTGCAGCTGCTTTCCCTTGATAGAAAGGAGTGATGAGGCAGATCAGCCTGAAGCATTGACTTTCCTTCTTGGTAACATTTCATTTAAACTTTTTCTTGCAAAGCTGCCTTCCCCAAACTAGAACTATGCTGAAATAACAAACTACAAGTCCCTGCTTCCCCACACTTAGTTGCTCCTTCCACCAGGCCAAATAAGCTCCCTTCAGCATTAATTCCCAATTTCAAAGAACAGCTGGGAGAAAACAAGGCTGGAGGTTGTTTGGCTTGGTGGGAAGAACAAGCCCAGAGTGTGCCAGGTGGGACTATTGGATGCAGTTTTATAAATCAAATCAAAGTGTAGGAAGGGTGATTCTCCCGTTTCTATAGTGCCATTAAACATCTGATTGCTAGCAAAAAGTATAGTCTTGCTCCAAAATGAAGTTGAGGCTGTGACACTGTGAGCCCCCCCCCCCCAAATATATAAAACCTTGCAAAAAGAGCCAATGTAGAGTACTTTTAGGAGTGTGGGACTATGAGGTAAGTTAGGCTGAAAGACAGTAGCTGGCCCAAAGTCACTCGGGAAGCTTCATGGTCAGTTGGGCATTTGAACCCGGGCATCCTAAGTCTTATTCCAGAACTATAACCACTACAGGACAACTAGCATTTTTCTCCCCTCCAAAGCTCCACTCTGCATTTTACAACTGTGCCTGCATTTCTGATACGTTAGAAAAAACAAAAGTAAAGGACTGTCTGACAACCCTTCTAGAAAACTTAATAAAAGATAAATACTCTAAGCATGCATGCAAATTCACATTAAAAAGGAACAAAACAGACTTTGTTTCTGCCAACAGAATCTTTTGAACAGGCATACACCCTTGAATGAGTAAGAACTATAAAAACGCGTGACACGAAAGTTCTCCATTCTATTCCTCTGAGAAGCATGCAAGCAATGACTTGTTCTTTGTTCCCAGCATCTGATATTTAGATATACCGCCTCTGCAAATTTAAATTCTGTTTCGTTCTCATCATTGCTAATAGCCACTTAGTTGAAATCCTGCAGTCTTAGTCAATAATAGGTCCTTTAACCATGCCACGGTAAGAATCAACACTTGATTCTCCCCCACACTAAGAAACCGAAAGCCTTTTCCTTCTATTATTTCCCGTGCCCTACCAGAGCGATAGCCATCCTCATTCCTCCCCTTTAAGACGGTGTATAATTCAGATAGTCCTTAGACAACGGCTCCTTTAAGAATCCGCTTCCCCTTCCTGTTCGGTTCCGGGGGCGCCTGAAGCCAGCGTTTCCGTTCTTTTCGCCCTCCTCTTTGTCGAAACGCTCTCACGGCGCATGCGCAGCCCGGGAAGTTCTTTCTGGTTCTGAGGCTTGGTCCACGCGGGTGTTTTGCAGCCTTGGTTGGCAGCGGCTGCGATGGTGAGTGTGCACGGACTGTGACGTCACAATCTTCGTTTGTGACGTACTTGTGCTTGTTCTTCAAACTGGGGCGTCTGAATTGATAAGATTGTTTTCCTGGGTGGCTGAACGTCTTTTCTTTCAGTCAGAGAACAAACAGGTGAACGCGTATTTATTACATTTATGTTTCGCCTTTTTTCTCCTCCAAGGAACCCAAGGCGGCATGCATAATGTTTCTCCCCATTTTATTCTCACAACAGCCCTGTGAGGTTGATTAGGCTGAGAGGTAGAGATTGGCCCGAAGTTGTCACCCGTGGGTGGCTGCCTGGGGACCAAAACCTGGATCTCCTCAGTCCAGCTCTCGAGCCACTATGCTACGCTGACTCAGCTAAACCATACCGGCTCTCGGTATTGGTGGAGATGATTTTTAAAAGTACCTGCTTGGCAGGAAATATATGCAGGTGAAATAGTTGAATGTATTTAAAATGGCCTATCTTCTTTATTTAGTTACATTTATTTGCAGGCCTTCTTGGAAGGTAAAACTCTCAAAGAGGCTTATGATTCCTTAAAGAAAAATGCATGCATTATGACATTAGGTAGTTACCATGGCTGGTCTGATTTATTTGAAATTCTTATATCCCACCACTTCTTTAAAAGAAGCAGAGGGTGACTTATAATGTTAATAAGCATAGAAACAATAACATCCAATGGCTGCAACACAACAGTTTAGAATACAGTAACAATCTAACTGAAAAACACCAAAACCAACTACCAGATCCAGCATCCTGTAAGTGAAAAGGTGTGCCTGTCATTCTAAGTTGGCCGGCTTTTATACACATGGACAGGTGTAATAGCCTGAATAAATAGAGCCTCAGTCCATTGCTCATAGTTGAACTATGGCATTTGCTGCCGCAGGAAATAGTGATGGCTGCCAATTTGGATGGCTTTAAAGGGGGAGCGGGCAACTTCATGGAGGAGGAGACTGTCAGCAGTTACTGGCCTTATTGGCTACTGCCTTCCTCCATTCTCAGAGGGGGCATGGCTGCATATAGTAATTGCTGATGAGTTTGGTTAGGTGGAAGTCTTGCATCCTGTGGATGAGTGTCCTGCCACTGTGTGAATGGACTGCTGGATGGGATGGCCCATTGGTCCATTGCCGCATGGCTTTTCTTGTGCTCTCTCTGGTACAGAAGGATGATGCTGGCTACAGGGGGAGTGTCAGTCAGTGTGCTGGGAAGATGGATTTGTTGTGGTGAATAAAGTGAGCATTGGTTGCACTAGCTGTTAATGCGAAAGTGGATGTGTGTCCTTAGCTCTTTTGCAGAGGGGCGTTTTTAAAAAGCAGCAAATGTGTAGAACTTGTAGTATTTTGTTCTGTGGGGAGAAGGTGGGATGAAGCTTGAAGCACGAGTCTGCATGTGCACTGTGGGTTTGGATGCCTCTCTTCCTGCTGAACAGTGTGATAAGTTGTATGTCCTCATCTAGTTCTGAGCTCAGGATCTCTTCTGGTGATTTCTTATATTCGTTCTCTCTTCTACCTGTCCAACAGCTCTTCTACTCATTTTTCAAGTCCCTGGTAGGGAAGGATGTGGTGGTCGAGTTGAAGAATGACCTGAGGTATGACTTTTATTCACAGCTTTTGGGCTGCAGGTGCTTTTGTTTCCCTCGGGGAAGACCCAGGAATCTTGGGGCCTGGTTCCTAACCCAGTCTCAGCTTCTAACTCCCTTTTTCTCCTAGGAAGATCAAGCAACTTCTTGCCTTCCAGATGGGAGCTGTTGGGAGTTGTAGGCCCCAGCATCTGGAGGGCTTCAAGTTGCCCACTCCTGCCCTAAAGAAGCAGTGACTCCTTGCTTCCCTTCCCTTTTTATTGCACTGGATTCCACTCTGCTCTGAAAGGGACCACACATCCTGGCTAGCTTTTAATTGCCTCTCCCGCTTTTTCTCCTTTTATTTTACAGTATATGTGGGACCCTACACTCCGTGGACCAGGTATGAATTACTTCTCAGCATTTTTCCTCCTTCCTGGAGAACTTGGTTTTTACAATGCCTTTCTGTGGCATCACCTGGACAATATGTAGATTACACAAGCATGTTCATTTTGCTGGGTTTTACAAGAAACAACTGTGGCTCTGTCTGTCTATACATCCCAGTGCTGGACAGAAATCTTTGGTACAGCTATTCTGGTGTTCATACGCTTGAAAGATGCATCTCTCTTCCTGCTAGGCAGTTACTTAGTTTAATTACTTACTGTACTTTTTACCATGCTCTTGGAGCTTGCAGCAGAATGTATAGTTCTCCTCTGGCCCATGTTATCCATACAGCAACAACCACATAAGGGAAGCCAGGTGGGAAAGAGAGTATGGGGCAAAGGTGTGAAGCAGAATCAAGGTGAATAGAGAGCCATGAGTGTCTAGTGGTGTCTAAATAATGAAGCTCACTGGGTGACTTTGGGCCAGTCAGTTACTCTCCGCCTAACTCGCCCCACAGGGTAGTTGTTAGGAGGATAAAGTGGAATAGAGGACTATGTACGTTTCCTTGGGTTCCTCCCAAGAGGAAAAAAGGGAATATAAATGCAATGTGAAAATAGTAAAACAAGCTAGTCAGCTTATTTTAGCTCCCTTCGACTGCTGCCAGGCTAGCAGTTGGTCACGCCACTTGAACGATTTTGCAGCTCATCTGATTAGGATAACTAACTTTAGCAAGCACCTGAGCTGCTCCTTTTCCTCCTCCTCTTCCTTGTATGTCATGTCTTTTTGACTGAGGACTGCTGACATCTTATAGGCTGCTCTAGGCAGGTGGTAGGGTAAAAACGCCTTTAAATACATTCATAAACAAAATCTTGTGACTATCAAACCAACTGGGTACTTAGTTGCTCTCTTGCCCTCCTTTGGCTTTGCAGTATTTGAATATCAAGCTCACAGACATCAGTGTGACAGATCCGGAGAAATACCCTCACATGGTAAGTCCTCACAACCAGTGGATAAATACTGTGGTGGGTGAGTTTTGGGGAGTCTGTCTTAACAAAACCCACAAGCCCTATTCTCAACTTCTCCAATTTTATTCCTTGCAATTATCTTTCTGGGGCTTGGGCGATGTGGGTTCTGGTCCCTACCTGTCCATGAAGCCAGCTGGGGGACTTTGGCCAGACCCTAAGTCAGCTTAACCTACCTCACGGGGTTGTTGTGAAGATCAAATGGAGGATTAGGTGAGCAGCCTTGGGTTCCTTGCAGGACACAAGGTGGGATTTAAAAAACAACAACAGAGCACTCTCCAAAGTTCTCTGATGGGAAATCTGAGCCCAGGTTTCCCCAGTCCGTTTCTGATACGCTGGAATCTCCGCACTGTGCACCTCATGCGCGTCTCCTCTCCTTCCAGTTGTCTGTCAAGAACTGCTTCATCCGTGGCTCTGTCGTCCGCTATGTCCAGCTGCCGGCCGATGAGGTCGATACGCAGCTGCTGCAGGATGCGGCGCGCAAGGAAGCCCTTCAGCAGAAGCAGTGAAGGTTTCTCCTCTTGTCTATCCTGCACTGCCTGATCCTGCCCGAGAAAGAGTTGGAGGACATGGGAAGGCCATAGCCAGCTCCTTTTCTGGAGGGAACCAGCTACACTCTGTCTGTCTGTGTGTGTGTGTGTGTGTGTCCGTCCGTCCGTCCGTCCGTCCGTCCATCCATCCATCCATGCATCCTGTTGGGTGAAAGAATGTGATTCCATCTTGGGTTTTGTTTGGTTTTGTGTCCCTAGTGAAGGCAACAAATGTGTTCTTTTTGCTGAAAAAGGGCAGCATTTTTTTTTTAAACTTTAGAGCCAGTAGCACAATTCTTCCCCTCCCCTCTACACACAAACTACTGTCTTTTTCAGCATTTCATTTCTTATATGGCACTGTTTTGTGGTCAGAATCTCCTTTTAGCGAAGAGCTAACATTTCCATCTCATCTTTAAAATCATGGTTCAGCCTTCCTTATTCCCATCCTGGTGCCCTCTAGATGTGCTGGACTATACCTTCCATCATCCCCAGCCAGAATGACTTTTGGTGCCCTTCAGCTGTGTGACACTATCAGCAATGCTGGCTATAGCGATGGAAGTTATAGTGTTGAAGGAGGCCACTGTGCAAGTAAATGGAAAGCGACACTTCCTTTAGGCACGAAATCGACAATGCAGGCAGATGCTTTCCTATGCAGAACTCCCAAGGAGTGGTGTGTCAGCTTTGTCCATTCGCGATCAGCCCTTTCCAGGTTTTTCCTGCTCAAATGCAGTGGAGCTAATGCCAGTCAGCATCTGCACTGCTTAGTTTGTTCTCCCACATTAGTGAGAATCACACGTATTGCTTTTGCAGCAGGTGTGTAAGAAACAGGCAATTCTACTACTTTTGCTCTGTGACGTAATTCCATCCAGCGTCCTCATGGGCTTACCTGGTACTACTGCTGTGTTCTCTTTGGTCACCAGAGGGTGCTCTGGGTCCAACTCCCCTGCCCTTGAAACCAAACCTCCAGTTTTGACCTCTGCACTGGTTTTGTTGCTGCAAAGACTGAAGCAGCTTCACATTACATTTCTGACATTTTGTTATTAGGGGGTGGGTGGATCTGCTTTTTTAAAAAAAGACTTTTCACAGAAGTAATGTGGAGGAATAAAATATTAAGTTAGAAAGATGGTGGCTAAGGGCTGGTCTCGGCATGTATCATTTTGCTGAAAAAAATAAAATCACAGTTCTATATAGATGTGCATTAAGTATATACTTAATAGAACTAATTTTTCCTACTCATGGGCAAGTGAAGGGGCTATGATAACACCACTGAATGGCTTACTAGATTTATCGAGTGTATTTCACTAAGCAAGATTATCTTCATGCCGTAAGGGCTAGAAACTTGCTTCAACATGCACTGATGTCATGCGTGTTGCATGCATGCAAGTTCCTTGTGCAAGCAAAAATTTTCCTGTACTCCAATCTGATGACAGTTATAAGACAGAGAAATCCTACACTCCCCTGAGTTGCTGGATGCCATTATAAGACTCACCCCAGTTTGGGACAATTAGTTCAGTCTGCCTACATTCTATTCTGTGTCACTTGACTGGCCTTTAGTAATGCATTACAAATTACCATGTTACTTCGCAGAAACAGCTACCAGGGTAGTGTAGATGTGTATACCACATTTCAGCTTTCTTCTTGGTAGAGATCAAGATTTAATCACCCCTAGTCTGACAATTTTTCTAATAACTGGGTCTCCTGAACCACGTCTATACCAAACCAGCTTCCTGATGGTGTTTGAATTATAAGCCTGTGAGCTTCACCTTCCAGCTTACTGTTCCATTCCATCCCATCGGTCCTCACAAGCTCCACACCTGCTCAACTGATGCTGGACATCCTTGCTAATTGGCAGGCAGAACCCTTGTTTTCCCATTAATACAGCCATGTCTGGCTTTTAGTCATCTAGCTTCTTAGGACACAGTGAAGGGCTTGTCTCGCATGCTGCTCATGCTTTGTATAAAATCTGCTTTCCTGGTCGTGTGCCTCCGTTGTGGCATTTCCAGTAAGTGGCAGCTTCAGAGGCAAATAACCTGGAAGACTGCAAGAAGCAGACTTGGTTTCCCACTTTTGAAGAAAATGTGGTTGCCCTAATCATACCTGTTAGACAAGTATAAATGTTTCCTCTGTCCTAGAGCAGAGGTAAGCAAAGTGGTACCTTCTAAGTGTTTGACAACAGCTCCCGTGAATCCTACCCTGCATAGCTAAGGATGACGGGAAAAGAAGTCCAACAACAGTAGGTGGGCCACACTTGATCCAAATTTTATGGTTTCACTATGCATTGAGTGAAGTAATATTTCAGCAAACATACAGAACAGAAAGACTGGGAGGCAAAGACCACCTCTGCCAATCCTGCCACTCTGTACTGGTTGCCCATAAGCCTCAAGAGTCTGGGGCTTACAGTCATCCTTACAGGATAATACTCTTACACTTATAAAACTCTTTCCGTGATAACAGGGGACTGTGCCTCTAGTTTTAATCCATGCAGTGAAATAGTGTGTCTCAGCCATCAGGGATCTGGGAACACATGGGTCTGATGATATGCAAGCATTTGGCTGAGAATGTGAACAGTGTGATGATTATGTGCCTTTGGATTTTTCAGCTCAGAATTCTTAGATCACTATTGAGATCTAAGCTGAAGTTCTGAATGGATGGATTTCTCACAGCAGCTTTCTGGGAAATGAATGCTTTGAGATCAGCCATGCCCACTATTTTATGTGGCAACCATTTCATGAACAAGATGGGCCTCACTCCAGCAGCCATTTTATGAGGGCTCAAAGTACACATCCACAATTCAAGTGTGCCCACCAGCCCGAGAAGGTTGGAGGCGCCTGTAAGTGAGGCCTGAACTTTTGCCTGCTCCATGTATCAAGGAAGTGTGAGAGAAGTTCACAGAAGAGCCTGTGTATGTATTTTGTGCATTAGAGAAATATCTCTTTCTATGGACATGATTTGTAACACAACAAGGTGACATGTTGATCCTCCCCAGTTTCTCAGTTTCCAATGACATGCTACAATTTGGGTCTCAGCTCTTCTCCCTGATCACTGTTTCCTTCCCACATGGCTTCTCTTGTGATTAACAAGCTGTCTCTGTTGACCAAAGTGCTTCCCACAGTCGGCCCATTCATTCGGCTTTTCGCCGGTGTGCATTCACTTGTGCTTCATGAGGAGTGAGCTGTGCGTAAAACTCTTCCTGCAGTCTGGGCAGCTATATGGCCTCTCACCAGTGTGGCTCCGTACATGTGCACTCAAGGCTGACAGTTACTTAAAACTTCGCAGTTGGAGCACTTGAACGGCCTTTCGCCTGTGTGGATCCTCTTGTGTGCAAGGAGAATCGACCTCTGGTTAAAGTCTCTCCCACAGTCCAAGCACTTACATGGCCTCTCCTGTGTGGGCACGCTTGTGCACAGTGAGAGCCGGCTTCTGATTGAAGCCTTTCCCACAGCTGGAGCATTTGTGCGGCCTCTCCCGTGTGAATTCGCTTGTGTGCAGTGAGGTGTGAGCGATGCCTAAAGCTGTCCCCACAGCCTGCGCACTGATATGGCCGGGCTCCTGTATGGACCGCCTTGTGAGCACTAAGATTGGAGCAATGGCTGAAGTGTTTCCCACACTCGGCACTCAAATGGCAGCTCTCCTGTGTATGTCCTGTGTATTCTCAGACTAGACCTCTGGCTAAAGCTTGTGTCTCAGAACACATGTGCTGCTTCCCTCCTGCGTGGACTCTTTCACGCACTGGAAGTTCACACAGAAGGTGCTCCCCTCTCGTCTCTTCTGCACCGCTCTCCTGCTGACATTCAAAGCCTTCTCCCTGATCTCAGTGGTGGGAAATGTTTTGTTGGCCTCTCCCTGGCAACATCCCACATGGCTCCGATTCCCAGGAACATTCAGCCTGATTTTGCAGCTCTTCTTGGGGCATCCCATCATCTCCTAGAAGTGAGAGAGAAATAAGAGCATCCCCCACTCCCATTTTACTATGAGATAGAACAGTAGCAGGGCCATTTCCACCCTGATGTGCTCTCCAACCTCTACAGACCCTGAATACGCATTGGATTTTTTCCCCCTGAAGTTACCTGCCATGCAGGAGACAATTTTTAAGCATGATTGCAATTCCAGAAAAAAGGGTTAACACTCTCCTCCCCACATGCTGCAAATCCCCCCAAAATAACATGCACACTCTCTCCTTCCCCCACAATTAAGCTCAGAAAAGACCTGTTCCATTGCTTTTAGAGTATCTGAACGGAAGAATTCATGTTATCTGCAATTGTTTATATGAGAAATTAATTGGCTGGCTCTGCCTCCAGTGAAATTGAAATCCTTGATGTTATTTCTGCATTTCAGTAAAGCGATATAAATTGACCTGTGAACATTTTATTCAGAGCCTAGTGACAGTGACCCATGCTATGGTAATTTCCCGATTGGACTATTGTAATGTGTTTTCACTTGGGGCTGTCCTTGAAAATGGTCTGGATACTTCAGTTGGTTCAGAATAGAGCAATCAAGAAGTTAACAGGGATCTGCAGATATGCGTACATAATGCTGGCCCTTTACCACCTGCACTGGCTACCAATTAAAGACCGGGCCCAATTTAAGGGGCTGATGATGCCTTATAAAGCCCGAAACAGTTTAGGACCCAGGTATCTGAAGGAGTGTTTCCTTCCATATATACCTGCCTGTCCCCTAAGATCTGGGTAAGAGGTTCTTCCTTGGGAGCCCTCTTTGAAGGAGGTCAAGAGAGAGGTTATCTGAAGAAGGGTCTTCTTTGTGGTGGCACTCCAGTGATGGAACATGCTCTTCAGAGAGGTGTGCCTGGTGCCAACACTATTCATTTGGCACCAGGCCCATCACACTCTCTCCTTAAAGATACAGTGCCCTAGCTCTTATTTCCCCATTGAGGAACTCGTAAGCAGAGCTTCCTGACTCCCTCTGAATGGCTCTTGTGCTCCACAGGCCCCTCTGCACAATTTTACATTTCCTGCCTAACTCCTGAGCCTCTTAACTCACCAGATTCCCTCCTGCAGGCAGTGAAGATCCTCTGTCCAGAAGTTAAGGAAATTCAAAGCCTCGTTTTCCCAGGGGACGAGGAGCAGGAAGCGACTGTTAAGAGTCTCCTGCTGTGGCTATGAAGCCTGGCTGGGAAAGGGAGAAGGATGTATTCCATCTAACCCTTAGGCAGCATCAAGCTGTAATACAGGGCTGAGGAACCCTTCCAGATGTCATTGACCACAACTCCTATTATCCTTTGGCCATGCTGGCTGGGGCTGATGGGAGCTGGCATCCAAGAACATTTGGAAGGCTCTAGCTACCCCACTCTTGGGTGTCATGCAAGACATGGTGCACCAAATTTGGCCTAACTGCAAAGGTGGTTGGTAGTTGGTGGTCCAGTCTCAGGAGAGCAAGAAAGCAAGTCGGCTACTATTTCTCTCTTTTCATTGAGCCAGCTGTTCAGTTTCCTTGATCCATTAGCTGCATCATCCCGGAGATCTATCTAGGGCAGGGGTCGGCAACCTTAAACACTCAAAGAGCCATTTGTACCCGTTTCCCACAGGAAAAAGAAAACACTGGGAGCCACAAAACCCTTTTGACATCTAAAATGAAGATAACACTGCATATATTGTTTTTTACCTTTATGCTATGTATAAAAAAACCTATAGTGTGTTGCATTTATGAAATCAAAGAACTGCTACAGAGAAAACAAATTTTTATTTCTGCATGCAACAAAAACATTTTGAACTCTGAAAAAAAAGATGCTGGGTTGAAGGTTACTTTCAAATAAAATACTCAATGTCTATTTGAGTCCTCCATGTATTTATGAAATAAAAAGCCGAACTTAAATTATCCACCTGCAGCAAACCAAAACTGCCGTCTCCTTCTATGTGCCACCATCCTTTTATCACGTGTACTGGAGGATGCAGTCAGCTGTCAACCCGAATAAAAAAGGACTATTTCACTGAACAATGTAAAATAGGTATTTGCAAAATAATAGCCAATTCAAATATTTATTTTACCCGGTTAATGTGATTTTTGCTCCTGAACCTCAGCGCACAGTGTCTGCACATCAGGGCTGTAAGACGTCACCTTCATCTTCACACAGGATTGTAAGCTGTCGTCTGTGAGGCGTGTGCGATGTTTGTTTTTAATATCTCTCATGTTGGAGAAGACCTGCTCACATAGATATGTAGATCCAAAGATCGACAGGACTCCAAATGCATACTTTTTCATGTTCATATAAGTGTCGGGGATGGCATTCCATGTTTCGAACACAAGTTTATCTGGTTTGGGAAGGTTTTCGATATCACTCCATTTGTGATTCTGAGCAAGAATGGTCTTCTGACGGGCAACATCTTCAAGATTAGCTGTCAAGTGTTTGAACTTGGACACCCATAGATCTTTGTCGGCTATGTCGGCCAGTTCCATCTCAAGGTCGGGTTGACTTACACCTGCAAATGCAGTCATATTCAATAGGGATGGATCGATGGTCAGGGGAGTGACAGGGAAGGATAATGTGTTTTTTTCCTCTCTGAACTCAAGGAATCGTTTCCTAAACGATGTTTGCATTGCGGTGATTGCAGACTGCAAATACTCCAAATTTATCATATTGTGAGCTTGTTTGAACTCTCTCAAAGAGGGGAAGTGAGACAGTGTACCTCTCTGTAAATCTTCGGCAAACACTGTCAACTTGCACTCGAATGCCAAAACCTCCTCCAGCATGTGCAGGGCTGTGCCTCCTTTCGCCTGAAGAGTTGTGTTCAGTGTGTTCAGGTGCGCTGTCATATCTACCATGAAGTGTAGCTTTTCCAGCCACTCTGGCCATTCTAGCTCAGGAAAGGTGAGCCCTTTGCTGCCCAGGTAAGTTTTCATCTCTTCCAGACACGCGGCAAAGCGCTTCAGCACCTGCCCTCTGGACAGCCACTGGACTCTGTTGTGCAGCAGCAGATCAGAATACGTGCTGTCCACCTCGTCCAGTAGCCAACGGAACTGACAGTGATTTAAACCTTTTGCTATTATTTTATTGACAATCTGAATGACAACATTCATTACTTCTGTGCATTCCGGAGGAAATGTTTGAGCGCATAATGCCTCTTGGTGCAGGATGCAGTGAAATGTCAGCAGCTTTCTACCCAGCAAGTTCTGCAGTAAAGCTACAAAGCCCTTCTGCTCTTCTGTCATACTCGGTGCCCCATCAGTAGCCACTGACACCAGGTGGGTGGTGTTTATTTCTTTGGTTCTTAGGTAATCCAAGACAGCCTCACAGATGTCCTCCCCCCGTGTTTGGCCTTTTAGCGGTATCAACTCAAGCATTTCTTCCTGTGGCCCAGCAGAGTTCACATATCGGCAGAACAGCACTATTTGTTCAATATCACCTTTGTCTTTGGACTCCTCACAGGCGATTGAGTACGCCACAGCTGAATTGATGTCTTTAATTTGCTGCCTGGTTATGTTTTCTGCCATTTTTATGGTTCTGTCTTTCACAGTCTTTGCAGAGAGAGGCATATCTCTGATTTTCTGCACAATTTCACTCTTGTTTTTGAAGTCCGAGAATAGATGTTCTGAAATCTTAATGAATGATTCTTTTATATAATCCCCATCTGTGAACGGCTTCCCGTGCCTGACTATTTCCTGAGCGGCCACAAAACTAGCGTAAGTAGTTGAATTTGCAGACTTCTTGAAATGAATTTTGCTCATATCAACCTTCTGCATCAGTTCCGAAATGGCTTTTTTTCTCTCATCTCCATCTGGATATTTTTCAGCAAAGGCTGTGTGTTTACTCTGAAAATGTCTTGCAACATTTGACTTTTTATTGTTTGCCAATTTCTCACCACATATTAAGCATGCTGGTAAACCAGTCTCGTCAGCAGTGAAAGCAAATGAATCTGCCCACGTACCATTAAACGTTCTGTTTTCTTCTGAAACTTTTCTTTTCTTGGATTTATCCACGCTTGGCCTATCCATGGTTGGTCGAAAAGCTCAATAAATCGCGTCTCTGCCGGCGGGTGTCACACATTGGCGGTTGTGACGCATATTTTGAGCGACAGGGAGCTGCAGCAGAGGGATGAAAGGGCCACATGCGGCCACATGTTTCCACATTCTAGGGAAGCGAGGCTTCTCTTGGTCACAGCTACAGGCTTCAAAAAGTAAGCTAAGTGGGCTCCCATACAGCCAACGCGCACACGGACATCAGCAAGACACAGACTCTAATCTTTTTCCTAACTCTATGGTCACGCAGCACTTTACCATCGAGTCGCACACCGTCGCAGTCCTTATCGGTACTTCCGTTCCAAAAGAGATGCCAAGGCTTCGACCGATTCAATTGCGGCCGCTTTCGGGTCTTACCGGAAGTTAAAGATGTGTGTCACTCTGCCTCCAACCGGTTTGGGGGGGTTGCTCTATGGTTATCTGTGGCGTTTGTCGGGCAAGAGGCCCCCGCTTAGGACTGTCTAAGGAACTGCCTCTGTAAAAACGACTTTCCCAGGGTATGATGCAAGGCGGCTGCAATATTAGTTCAGAGGACCGTATATACAATCTCCTCCCGCCGTATTTATTCATTTGTAATATTTATACGCTCTTTAATTATAAACTATATTAACTATAAAACATTTGTAAAGGAGAGTCAGTATGATGCAGTGGTTAAGAGCGTGGGACGGGGACTCAGGCAATTTTGGTTCTGGTCCCCACTCAGCCATGGAGCCCAGGGGTGACTTTGGGCCAGTCAGACTCCCAGGCCAGCCTACCTCTCAGGGTTGTTGTGGGGATAAGATTGGAAGCAGGAGGCGGACAATGATGTAAGCCACCTTGTGTTCTTTAAAAAAGAAAAAGGTGGGATAAAAATCTAAGATTGAGAGGAGGAGGGAGAATTATGGAAGCCACTTTGAATTCTTTGTAAAAAAAAAAAAAGTGGGATATACATCTAATAGATAAACAAGCCACAATTTCATCTCAAAAAGGAAATCAGGATTTGGGGAGCAGTTCTCTAAAGCTCAGCTCCTAAATCTGAACTTTGGAAATGTTTGAATAGATATTAAGAATATACTTCTCCCTTTCCATTCTCCATTGCTTATTAGCTTGTTTTATAGCACATGTGGTACAATTTTATGTATATTTTAATAAATATACATAATATTTACATAAATATTTAGCCCCAGCTCCATGCCCCATCCTGAATGGATGCCGGGATTTATGGATGTTTTTTGCCTGACTAAACATGCATAAGATTGTACCTTAACTTGACGTATATCCTTATCTAATTAAAAGCCCCATTTAGTTAACTTGAACTTCCTCCCAAAGTTATTCCCAAAAAGTAGTTGGCTTTAAGAAAACAGAAGAACTAGGTTAAGCTTAGAGGAAAAAAAGGAAATATTACCAGTGAAACTTCCAAAAACAGAGGCAGTCTATTTCTGTGTTCAAGATAATAGGCTCTTCTATACTGTCCAGAAAGCTCTGGCTATTGGTCAGTATAGAAATTAAATAATACTAGGGCCAATCAACAGCTGCCTGCTTAATGGCCTATGGCTTTCCAGCTTCCAAAGGCATCTGTTACACCTTCACTGGGGATCATATTAGTTCTTCATACGATTTATTTGTTACATTTACATCCTGCATTTCCTACGGAGACCCAAAGACAGTGTACATGATCTTCCTCTCCATTTGAACCTCAGCAGTCCTATGGGGCAAGTTATGCAGCAGCTGGCCCAAAGTCATCCAGGGTGCTTCATGACCATGGAGGGATTTGAATCCACAGTTTTGCATCCTTGTCTAACATAAACCACAATGCTGTGACACTCTGGCTCCTCATATGGACTAGATAATCCTTTCAGGCTGTGCTATGCCCAGCTTGCTGGAAGTAAGCCCCATTGAACAGTGAGAGTTATTTTTGCTGTCAGCTAATTCAGACAGGATAGTCTTGCATTTTTATTAAGGAGATATCTTTATTGCTTGCCCTGACAGTCACCTGATGAAATCTTTGGTTATTGTTCTCCTGTTAACAGGAGAAGTGAGGAAGAAGATGGTTGTTCCAAGGCCACCTAGCTGTACATCAGCTGCCAGTCTTGAATCCAGGCCTTCAAAGGACAAATTCAATTTTCTAACCACTGTATTATATAGTGAAATACAGCCAGTTCTGTATCTGTTGTATGGTAGGTGCAGAGGCCACTGCATTCATCCTGGCCTCATGCTTCCACTTTTGCATGTTTCTTTCCACAGGTTAGTTGCTAGACCAATTGGAGAGACCTGGCTTCAAATCTTTACTCAAACTGGTTCCTTTATAACCCTTTATCCTAAAGTACCTCACAGGGTCTTTTTGGGGATAAAAATGTGTGCATCTGAGTGAACTTTGAACATTGTCCTGAGCTCTTGGAAGGTGGAGTATAAATGTTATAATAATAAATCAATAATCACATGTTCCATCTGCCTGCAACCCCTGACTTGAAAACCACAAGGCCCTGAATCTAAATTAAAGCTATTTAATCAACGTATAGTGTGGGGAAACTGCCTATGTGCATGAGGATAAGCTGACAATAACAATAGGAGAACAGTGTTGGTTTCTTGAATGAGGAAGGGGTGGGTAGTGCCTGTGCTTGCTAACAGCACAGATCAATTAGGATTTTTAAACATGCAGTGAGGCAGATACAGATCACTGTAGGTGCACTTCCTGCAGATTTGTCAGGGCGGTGCAGGCTTTGCAGTAGACGCCTACCAGGCTGGGTCCTTCTGTAAGAGAACGTAGCACGTGGGGATAAGCTGCAACCGGCTGGAGGAGCAGGTAAGGTGGGACCCCGCCCCCTCCCTTTCCCAAAACCCAGGTGTCCTGGCTGATCCCCCCTCCCCCCCCCAAAAAACTCCATCGCTAGCCCGTTTAATTTCCTCCTTATTTTCCAAAGAGGCTTTATGCTTCCCGGCTCCATGTCTTCCAGTCTTCCAAAGAATCCAGGATCTTGTCTCCTAGTTCCCCTGTTTGCAAGCCCACGGCAACTCTGTCTTCATCGAGAGACCCCAGAACTCTTGGATTTCGGGCACCCCGTCCCAGTCATTCCTCATCCCAAATCATGTTTTTTCTAGAAAAACTAGATTCCTGTCTTCCGTCAGATTTCTTCTCTAGTTTTCCATTCTGTTCCAGAGAACCCGCACCTGCTGGCTGGTCATCTTTTTTCTTTTCTTTTTAGTGATCTGCTTGGAAGGGAGCAGAAGCAAATTTTACATTTTAACAGTTAAAATTTAACTCTTTTAAAATTTAAAATTGTCAGTTGGTTTGAGGCAAAAAGACAAGTGCATGGGGGGAGGGGGGAGGGTTCTGAGTTATTCCATATGGATTTTCAAAATGCTACTGATCTGAGTGTTATGAGATACTGCTGTATTTACAATAAAACTAGGAATATTTGTGTATCTCAAATAATGCAGACTTTTCCAACCTGGTGCCTTCCAGATGTTTGGGACAAACATCTAATATTCCTAACCATTGGCCCTGCTGACTGGGGCTGATGGGAGGTGTAGTCAATTCTGGGCACCAGGTTGGGCATCAGATCTTCTTCTTCTTCTTTTTTTTTTGCTGGTTGTCCTTGAAGGCTTCCCCCTAAGTGCTGGGGAGAGGAGGAATAAGCAGGTCTAGAATTCCCCTCAGCTGTCTGGGTGGGGACTCCTGAGCTATAATAATTCTATGAAGAATCGGGGAGGAATTATTGAATTACTGGGTTTCTTCCATGCTGAGAAATGGAGTAGGAGTTGAAGGCTTGGAGTAGGGTTAGGCTCTTGCTTCCCCTCCCTTGTGAACAAAACATCTTTCCTCCACAAGGTAGTACCTAAGAAGGAATTCTGAAAGACTTAACATTTACTCTTACTATATCTGGACCTGAGAAGCAGGGATTATAGAGAAGCAACTAACTTTTGGTCTCTTTTTCTGGGTCGTTTGCATTTTTGCCCTGAAAAAGAAACTGATGAATCACTGGACCTTTGCTGTAAGTTGCATCATCTAAGTGGTGTCACATATCCATCGATGGTTGAATGGGGTCAGGTTTATCTTAAAAAGTGGGGGTTTCCGTATGTCACCATTCTCAGGAGAAGCAGCATAATGATGTGTTTGAGGAAGGAAAGTGTCCCATGGCACCTTAATATTTAAGGCTCAATCCTATGGCTGTTTCGATGGCAAAAAGTGCCACGGTTCCCATCTCATTTGCAGCCAGCATGGAGCCCTTTTGGCAAGCCATTTAAAAAAAGAAAGAATTCAGACTTTTGTGGATGCATTAGGCTAGGTTAGCACTGGAACCATATGTGGATGTGAACAAGTTGAACCCCTGTTCTCAGCTCAGTTCTTCTGTCTGACAAGGCAAGCTCTTAATATATTCCATTTTCAGCCACCTTTCTACAGGTAGGGCACTCAAGGCAGTATACTGTGCAAAGCATGAGCAAAAACATAGGTCGAGCTAAAACAATTCCTACATTAAAAGAAATATTGCCATAATACCAATGTTGTGATATGTGACAATTTTATATAAGTATCATAAGACTAATAATACAGTCTCAGTAATTGTGCAGCCTGATGACAAAGAAGGCAGTCCTTTGAATATCTGGATTACAAGCAACGTAGGGATTTAAAGGTGATATAAATTCTGCTCTGTGCAGGGTTTCATGGCATATTTTCTGGGATGGGGAATCTGTGGCTAACCACCAGATGTTGGGGGACCCCAACTTGCATCATTCCTGACCGTTGGCCACTCTGGCTGAGGCAGATGGGAGCTGGACACCCCAGGTTGTCCACCCCTGCAGTCTGCAGTGACTGTACCTCAAGTTCTGGCCTTTCACCTCAAACTCTTTTGTTCTTCTTTGTTCTAGGCATTCTGTCCCCTCATCATGCCTACCCTGTATCTTTCCCCACATCCTGATAACTTTCAGAATCTCTGCGTGCTCATCGCAGCGCGTTATGGTCGAGAGGAGCCCAAGGTGGTCAGCCTGCCTCCCAACACAGAGCCGGGGAATTCTTCCTTCTCCCTGTCCAAGCTCCCAGCTCTGGAAACCCAGGCGGGGGTCTCCGTGTCTGGCTCTGCAGCCGTTTCCTACCTGCTGTCTCCGGAATCCATGAGAGGGCAAGGCCTTGAAGCAGGAACCCTGGTGCGGCAGTGGATCAGTTTTGCCAACCTGGAAATTGCTCCTGCAGCCTGCGCAGCAGCTTTCTCTGTGCTGGGCATCTCCAAGCAAAATAAACAGGTGAGAGGAAGGCCGTGTGGGCCATGGTGGTGGCACATGGAACCTGGCGTATAGTGTGATGGTTAATGGGGTGAGCTGTGTGTCAAAAAGCCCCTAGTTCAAACCAGAGAAGGAGGGAAGGCAGCAATGCAGAGAGGGAAAAAAAGCACCGTAAGTGCACTAAATACTTTTCATCTGTCTCAACACTTCGAAAGAAAAATCTTCAGAGAGTCTATCAAATGCAGCTCTCAGAAAGTGTTATTTTGCAAATTATTATTTGAAATGATGTTGAGCCAACATGAACTGCTTTATGCAGTTTGAAGTCTTCCCTAATCCAGTCTGAGCCACAAAAGTACTGTGCAGCCTTATGTGAAAAGGCTGTGAGTTTTGTTTAAAAAAAAACGTACAATGGGGGAGCCTTGTGTCATTTTCCAACAAGAGATGCTTTTCATGCATGTCATGTTTTAAAAGATATTAGCTGGGGGATTTTTTTTGCTACCCTGCCACTGAAGTTAAGCAGCAAAATTCGAGGGATGACAGCAGCAAAGAATGCTGCAACCAAAGCAGAGACATTAAAAAACAGGAGCACAGAATAGTCGTAAAACCAGCATAATACTTTTATTTCTTCATTCATTTCATTTTTATACCACCAAATAGCCAAGGCTCTCTGTTAAACTATTTTTGTATGTACAGTATGGTTAATCTGGGTGGGAGAAACCTGTGTGCCCTCCTGAGCTCCTTGGATGAAGAGTAGGATATAAATTTAATAAAATAATCGGAGAAGTCCAGGCCTTAACCATTTATGCCCTGGCAGGCTCTGTTCTGCCTGCTGTGCATGACCCCTGCTGCGCACTCGTCCCCCTGCCCAGGTGACAGATCGTGCTGTTGCTGAGCTTCGGACTCTCCTCAGGGTGCTGGACGGGCACCTGAAGCTGCGGACGTATTTGGTGGGAGAAGCCGTGTCCTTGGCCGATGTGACCGTTGTCTGTTCTCTGCTGTTGCCATATAAATATGTGAGTTGCCCTGGAATTCCACCCCATCCCACCCACGCTAGTCTACTTTTAGGAGGAATTTTGTAACAATATATACACAAGCCCTGTTTTTGGTCTGTTTTTCTTACGATATGCTTCAGAACTTACAGGAAGGCTGTGCTGAGTTTTAATAGAGAGCATGGGGGGGAGAAGTGAAACATTTACAAAGGCACACATTGCTTACATTGTATGCATAACAGAACAAAGCAGAAGTACCTGGTATACATCATATATGTGCATATACCTCCACCACACCTCATACCCTGCACTGAATGCACATAAGCCTCCATTTTCAGAGACTTATGGATATTGAGCGCAGACATCATTAAATCATGCCCCAAGATATGCACACATTCTCTGGCGTGACCAGAAAATCGTGATCCAACAGTTTGGGGCATCGTCGGTTGGGACATGCCTTATTCTGAGCAGTACCTGCAAATGGCTTTCAGGTGGAAATAGGAGTCAGTGGGCTCAGTCAGTGACGCAGCTGAGCGCCAGATCCACCGCCCAACTCCACGGACTGGGAGGCAGGTGTCTGCTTTGATGGATGCTCCTGCCCCTGTAATCACGGTGCTCTCTCCTCTGCTTCCACAGTCACAGGGATGGACGTGTTGCTTGTAAGAACAGGATCAGGTTGTGAGCATGCTTGCATCTCTAGGCCAATTTCTGTTTCGCTTTAAACAAAGGCTTGTGCTAAGTACTCACAGGTGAACACAGGAGGGACCGAGCAACAGCATTAACAGCAACATTTGGATTTTTATTCATTTTATTCTCCATGTTCATTTTGTTCTTCTGGTTCTAAAAATATTTCCTGGACCAGTGCCACCCAAAATCCATTTCCCTGCCGGGTTATACATAACAATAGCTCCCTGTCTGACTGCTCTGTTCATCTTAAACGGCGCGCACAATCTCGCCACTCCTGCCCAATCACAATGTTTCGCGTAGGTGCTCGATCACGCTCTCCGTGCTGCTTACACCAACGTGACCCGCTGGTTCCTGACCTGCATTAACCAGCCGGAGTTCCAGGCTGTTCTTGGTCCAGTGAAGTTGTATGAGCAGGTGCCAGGAGGGGGTGTCCCAAAATCTGACCTGAAAGGTAAGATGCTGCCACTATTGTCCTCATTCCTCACAAGTTGGCTGAAGGCAGAAATGCTTCAGTGTAAGGACTAGGGCTGATGCGTTGCATGTATAAAAGACACAGGCTTCTCCAGTCTGGTGTTGGGGATGATGAGAAGTATAGTCTCGCACATTTGAAGGGCGCTAGGTTGGGGCAGGCTGATACAGACTCAAGTAATCACAAATATGGGTGGGGGGTTAGGATCTTACGCGGGGTTGCCCTGACCTGCAGGCTTAACTCAACTCGTGAACCTCATCCCTCTGCGGAGATCCCACATCCTGGCTGCAGATCATCCTCAGCTTTGTCCAGTGGTTGGGGCTTCAAGCCCTTGCCTCCAAGCCTCCTCCCTGCCCGGAGGAACACCCCGGAGCAGTGCCACTCCAGCTGCAGTGCAGGGCTTGCCCAGCATTTGAAGGAGTGGTTACTCTTCCCAGTACTGGCCAAGTCCTTCTGTGTAGACCCCAGGGCCCAGTGGGGGCGGGGGGGGGGGTTGCGTGTGGCACCCCAGTGCGGGAGGAGCAGCTGCTGTGCTCCGTGCCAGCCGCATCCTTCTGCCCAGTGAGCATGGCCCAGAGGCAGCGCCATCGGTGGACAGCGCTTCTCCTTCCTGCGCAGCCCTCAAGCTCACCCCCTGCTGGTACTTAAACCAGGTCTGTGAACTGCGCTGCATGGGCTCCTTGCTCTTTGGCTTTCCCTAAAGGACCAGTGGAATGTCCTGAGGCAGATTCGTCAGAGGCACCACCCAAAAGCGCCTCTCAGCTGAAGAAAGAAGCCAAGAAGAAAGAAAAGCTGGAGAAGTTTCAGCAGAAGAAGGAAAAGAGCCAGCAGCAGCAACAAGGGGAGGTAAGGATTCGAGAGCGGATGCAGGTGTCAATATTCCAGTAAAATGTCAAAGCCCCGAACTGTTCCGCTTCAAAGTATGCACAGAAGAAGGATGTTGCACGCTCCCCATCCCAGCACAATCACATTTAAAGAGCTTGCTTTCCCTCCACACTCCTCTCCTCTCCTCTCCCCTCCCTATTCCTTTTTTTTCAGTGCCATGACTGTCCGACTGTTTTAGGGCGGAGACTGCCTTTTTGCTGATAGCTGTGAGCTGTTCAAACCTTTTGACCAAAGAGTGGAGTAAAACAATGCTTTAAATTAATGCAAAATTAAAGGCTGTCAGGTTTATTACAGCATATGGTTTTGTGGACTAGCATCTACTTTATCAGATGCATGAAGTATAGCTGACTTTGTGGATGATACTGCTCTTTTGTTTGCTTTGTCGGATTTGGCCTTCTTTTGCCCCAGACTGATTCTTTCAAGTTGTTGTTTCACCGTATTCTATTTTTTTCAATACAATCAGTTGTAAGAACCAGTTTCACTGAAAGGACTAACCATGAAAGAGATCATAATGTACTAATTTATAATTAAGGGCACAGTCCTATGCATGTTTAGAAGGAAAAACATAGAAACAGAACGAGTCAGAAGGGTCTCCTGGGCCATCTAGTCTGACCCCTGGTTCCAGCCGGCTCCACTAACGACATGCTTCCCATGTGCATATCCAGCCTATCCAGAGTTTTCCCTTTAAAGAAGTATAAGATTTCCCTTTGGAGGGTGAACTTTAAAATAGCAGAACTTCCCTGAGTTCTGTAAAATAGTGAAAAACTGGGAAATTATCCTGTAGAACCAGTTACTATTATTCTTTCCACATTGTGATTCTTTGTAGAAGAAGCCAAAAGCTGAGAAGAAAGAGAAGAAAGATCTTGGAGTTATAACCTACACCATCCCAACCAAGCCAGGGGAGAAAAAAGGTATGGTAACGGTTGACACGAGAATGGAGAGCAGGCAGCTGGGATGGCCTGCAGCTCTTTGCCCACATCTTGTACATCAGAGAAGCAGAAACTCAATCCCAGGGTCCAAATCCAGCCCTCCTGGGGTCCCAGTCCCCTGACCACCCTCCCCTCAAACACGCACCACCGGCCATTTGGTGGCTTCCTGGCCTTTGTGTAGAATCCTTCCCATTCTAAAAAGTCAGAATGCTCTCCAAAGGCTTTGTGTCTGGCAGTGAGAGTTTTCAGCGCCAGTAGACTGGCTTCCAGAAGTTTTTCTGAAATAGAAGTTGGTCCTTCACCCTGCACCTTATATGAAGAGCAGTCCCAGCTCTTGGCACATGAATTATTATGGAGGCAAATCCTCGCAGTCCAGTTAGCAAAGGAAGGTTACCTGCTAGCTCAGGAGAACACTTGTGATTTGCAGAAACAGAAAAAAAAATCTGTGAAATGAAAACTGGGATTAAGTGTGTGGAATGACACATCCTGAAGGAGGACATGACTGACTGAATTCCTGAACACTCTGCCTTGCAACATTTTATTTATTTATTTTTACATTTATAAGTCGCCAGACAGCTCAAATGAGCTTCCCAGGTGGTATGCAGCAGTAAAATTGCAGCCAGCAGTTTAAAGTATCATTAAAAATAACCAGTTAATAACAACACTAACATACACCAGGTGAAAAGGATAACCAACTAATAATTAAAATACAATAAAGCCATCTAAAATGCATTATTAAAATCAATTGTTAAAATTATTAAAATGGATGGGGGAGAGATAGGTTTTCATTTTGTGCTGACATGAGAGCAAGGTTGGTGCCAGATGAGCTGCTCTGGGGAGCCTGTTCCACAGGTGGGGGGCAACCACGAAGAAGGCCCTTCTTCTATTTATCACCCTTCTCACCTCCTTGAGGGATGGCACATTCAGAAGATCTTAATGGCCTGGTGGGCATATATGGGCAAAGGTGGTCTTTCAGGTTCATTTTGTTGCAGGTCCCAGTTGCTTGACTAGCAAGAAGTAAGTCCCCACCTTACAGTATTCATTCCTTCATATTTCATTTCTGTACCATCACTTAGCTGAAGCTTTCTAGATCGTTTACAACACTACATAGAAACAATACAATAAAGTATAGTAAAATACCATAAAATGTTATTAAAAATTAAAAGAGTGAAAACACGCAGTGAAGAATGACCCAGTCCAAGAAAAACACCTGGGATGGGTAATCCGCTCAAGCGCCTGCATAGCAAAGGTTGTTCTTAAAAGCCTCGGTGCAAAGGGCCATGTTAACAGAGGCTGGTGCTAGTCAGGCTGTGGTGGGGAGGCTGTTCCGTAGATGGGGGGCCAACGCAGAGACTGCCCCCCCTTGTTGCCCTCCTGCACGCTTCCCTTGCAGGTGACACTTGGGGGAAGGCCCCCCCCCCCAGTGTCCAGGTGGTTGGGAGAGGCATCCTGGCAGATATTGTGATACCAAGTTGTGGAAGGCTTTATTGGGGGGAAACAGCACTTTGAATTGGGCCTGGAAGCATAAAGGCATCCGGTGCAAGCTGACCAGAGCCCGTCTTATGTGTTCAGACTTAGAGGTCCCTGTTATTAATCTGGTGGCCTCATTCTGCATGAGCAGCCATCTCTGAACTCTCTTTAAGGGCTAGTGCACATAAAGTACATTGCAGTAATCTAATTTAGAGATTACTGAATCTAGATTACTGAAACCAGGCTGCGCCTGTCCAGGTAGGGCCCAGCTGAGCCACCAGGGGAAAGCTGGTGAAAGGAAATCTGAGCCGTTTGCTAGCCATCCTCCAGTCCGTCATTGAAGCCACACACTGGTTTAATACAACCTCACCTGCTGAAGATGGAAAGGAGAAATAGAGCTCCGTGTCACCATCATGGGGATGGCAACACACCCCAAAACTCTGGATGACCCCACTCAGTGGTTCCATGTAGATGTTTGAATAGCTAGCATGGAAGTCAGAGCAGACCCTCAGGAACCCCATGCTGGAGAACCCACGAGGCTGAATCATATTCCCAAGCACCATCTTCTGGAGGCAGCCCTCCAGGTAGGAGCGGAACCACCGCAATGCAGTGACTCCCACTCCCAACTCAGTCAGCCCAGAGGGATACCGTGGTATTGAAAGCTGCGGAGAGGTCCAGGAGATCAACAGGATTGCCCTCGCCCTGTCTCTCTCCAGCACAGGTCATCATGCAGGGCGACCAAAGCTGTTTCCATGCCACGTCCAAGCCTGAACCTGCCTGAAATGGATGCCGAGAATCGGTTTCTTCCAAGGGTGTCTGGAGTTGTTTGGCAGCCACCCTCTGAAGAACATTGCCCAGCAAAGGGATGTTTGCTTTCAGCCTAAAATTACCAGGTTCTTCCAGGTCCAGGGGGGTTTTCTTCAGAGGTGGTCCCACCACTGTCTCTTTCAGGAGGCATGGGCCGCTCCCTCTCTCAAGGAGACATGAATCACACCTCCTGGCTCAGTCAGTTGCTCCTTCCTTACTGGCTTTTACAAGCCAGGAGGGGCAACGATCCAGTACTGAGGTGGTTGCACAAACTTGTCCAACTTGTCAACATCCTCACGCTGCAGCAACTAAAACTCATCCAATAAAACCGGCCCGGGCTGTGCGCTGGGTATCTTCCCAGAGTCGTCTGCGTTAACTTTGGAATTTAAGACCTGGTGGATGCATGAGGTTTTTTCCCTGGAAATTCCCAGTAAATAAATTACAGCAGGCCTCACGTGGTTCTAAGATGCCCTGGCGAGAGCATGTAATAGGCCCTGGACAACACTGGAGGCTCTGCTGGGCAGCAGACGGGAGCCTCCGAACATACCCAGTGACAGGCACACAGCTGCATCCCCTGGGAGTTTTCCTCCATCTGCCCTCAAGCCAGCTTGCCTGTTGTTTCGTCGTTCTCAGGTGCAGGGTATCCGGTGGAGCTGTGGGAGCTGTACAGCAGAGAGGGATTGTGTGCTGGAGGGGTCGTGTCAACCACCCAGGGCATTTCCCTGTTCCACAGTTCAGTTAGGGCTTTGACAGGAATGCAAGCCATATCAGCCAGGAATGTTCCCAGGGCCTTCTGGGAGCCACCTGGATCCATTAGCGGCTATGCTATGCTATGCTAGTCATCAAGTTGCGTCCAACCCATCGCGGCTCCATGGACAACATTCCTCCAGGCTCTCCTATCCTCCACCATCCCCTGGGGTCCACCTAAGCCCACACTGACCCATTAGCCTCTAGGAATGGGCTCTCTCAATACGTCCCCCACCCTTGCAGAGGGAAAACACTTCCATTAGTCTCAGCAAACTGATCTGACCATGACAGAGGGACGGAATCACTGCCCCCCACCTTCCCCCTGTCTGGCCAAAAAGACCAAGTCTAGACTATGTTCTGCTGTGCGTGTGTGCTGATGGCATGCTGGGACAGTCCCACGGTTGTCCGGGCAGCCATGAAATCCCGAACCTCCCCAGACAGGGTACTCGCAGCATGAACGTTGAGACCTCAGCACTCACATCCGAGAGCTCCTCCATCAGCTCCCCATCAGGATCTCTGCAGAGGCCTTTCCCAGCCCAGCTACCCGAGATCTTGTAAGCGAAGATGTTCAGGACTGAACCCAAGACCTTACGCGAGAATGCATGTCCTCAGCCACTTGAGTTGTGGCCCCTCTTCTCTCACACATGCTTACCCAGAAAGCCCTTTTATCTCCTCCAGTGTCAGAACAAGTCTTCATCAGTCAGTTCCTTTGGTCAGTACCCAGCTCAGCCGTATAGATAAGCCCACAACAATTCTTAAGAGCCTGCAGAGGCTGGAAGGAGAGAGAGCGAGAACTGTGTTCAGGTTGCAGCTGTCTGCTCCAATCTGTGCCGGGTGTGCAGGCGGGAGCTTCTCTTTTCTGGCAGCCCACTTGGGTCCTGCGCTGGGCTCAGGGCAGAGACAGAGCATCCATGCTTCTGTGGCCGGCCTGTTGGTTCACCCCAGCGTACCTCCTTGGCTCCTATGAAGTGCAAGCTACTACTTGCATATAAAGCTTGAATAAAACAACAATTGGCCTTGCAGAACCCTATAAATTAACAGGTTTATCTTGGTGTATGGATCTGTGGACTGTAGCCCATTTCATGGCATACACACATGCGCCTCTTCAGCCATGGTTCCTGCAAACCATGAGGTCAAGGGGAATTGAATGTGTAATGTACAGACAACGATAATTGCCAAATTCACAGTAGCCTTTCAGAAACCAATTGCTGGGAGAGAAACCAATACATCCTCAGATAAGAGAGCTGATGAACACATGAAGTGTTCTACTTGGCAAGTGTTAACTGGCACATGCTTTCATTTTTCACCTCTGCACCCCAAACTGGATGGTGTTGCAAGGTGCTCACACCCTTTCTTTGAGAGTGGACTGAAGGCACATAAGGCATTCACTGTGTTGAGGCTAAGCTGGTCTGGGGCTGGTCTGACCTTGTGGGGGAGACCACCTGGGCACCACATGGAGCCACCTTGGGCTCCACAATGGGAGAAAGGTGGGATATAAAGTAAATAATTTCTGCTTTCTCCTCCTCCCCAGATGTGACTGGCTCGATGCCAGACTCCTACAGCCCCCTGTATGTTGAAGCAGCCTGGTACCCATGGTGGGAGAGCCAGGGCTTTTTCAAACCAGAGTATGGGGTAAGTGGGTGCTTGCGGTCCCGGTGAGCTGGGATCCCCCCACCATCAACTGTGCTAGTGGGACCATTTTCCCAGAGTGGGTGGACAATTATCACCATGTGGGAACAGTGAGCTAAGTTGCTTCAAGCATCTTTGCTTGAACTTAATAATAATTACAATACTTTGCATTTGTATAGTCTGCTTTCCCCAGCTTGCTGCTTTCTTGATATGTTGGACTGCATCATCTCTCCTTCCGAAGCAACAGCAAAAGATGCCTCCACCCAGCACTATGTGCATAGGACTCCAAATTATTTTGGTGCTTGAGAAAGAAATCTCATAGGCACTTCTCTCCATCAGTGAAAAAAGCTATAATAATGAAGATGCAACCCTGTGCATATTTTAATAGTGAAAAGCCAAACTTGCAGCATGTTCCAGGCAGCTGACTGTGGCATGCCGGCAGTTGTCGGCCTGCCTTCCTCCTGACATGCGGAGGATTGCACCCCAAGTAACTAGCAAAATACCAGCCTTTCGTGAGACTCAGAACCAGCTGCCTCACTCTGCCTGATCTCAGGGCCGGCCCCGTGTGCCTGGAGTAATTCAGTGACAATGGAGGCGGATGCAGTTGCATCTTCTCCCACCCTGCTCCTGCCCCAGTTCTTTGCCCACAGAGCAGCCACCGCTGCATTCCTTCCTCCCTTCTGGGCTGCAGCACCAGGGGAGGAAGAGCTGGAGCACAGGCATTCCCTCCAGCCCACCCTTCTTCATGCTGCCTTGGGACCTGCCACAAGGGGAGGGAAGAAGAGGTGAAAGGGGGGAGATGGGAGCAGCAAGCAGGCAGCTGGGAGTCAGAATCCGAACCCAGGAGACAGCAGCCCCAAGCCTTGTGCTCTTGCCTCACCCCTGCAGCCCCGTCGATTGCTCTTCTGTGAGCCCTTGAGGATAATGAGCTCCTGGAAATGCTTGTTCCATGTGAGGAGGGATTGCAGGGGAAGAGCACTCCAGTCATCGGGTGGCTTCCCTCCTGGGGGGCCTGCCTTCCTGCGAGAGGGTTCCTTGCGCCTCACATGAAGCATTTTCTCCCCTTGCCAGCGTCGCAGCCTCTCTGAACCGAACCCCAAAGGCCTCTTCATGATGTGCATCCCTCCGCCCAACGTCACAGGATCCCTCCATCTTGGCCACGCCCTCACCAACGCCATCCAGGACTCCTTGACTCGATGGTGAGGCTGAAGTCTGAATCCGCTGCCCCCCCCCCCCCATTCCCGGAGCCTGGGTGTCTCTTGGCTTTGCCCTCACTTTGCCGTACCTGTGAGCTGTCCTGACTGCAAGCCACAAAGGGCTGCACTACCATAATCCCAATTGCTGCCCACAACAGAATGGGATACTGTGTACCAAATTTAGATTTCAAAGTGTTGCCTCCATTCACCACAAGAAAACAAACATTTCTTGCTGTTGCAGTTGTGGAGATACACTAGGAGTAGAGCGGAGGGGTCAGTTCCCATGCACAGCTTCATGTGCACCCCATGGTTTAGCATGGTTCTGCCCTTAAAAGATGGACTAAAAATAATTCTAAGTCTATGAGAATTCAGAATAAAGGGTGCAAAATAGTAAAAACAGCAGGGCGCATTTCTTTAATTCGCCTGGTTTATGCAGGTTGGCAGAATTTGTTCTGGGTTCAGAATTTGGGAGGCTCCCATTTTGAACAAAGGCACGATGGAAAAGGGACATTGTTAGTTTTTCCTTGGAAATATCACCCACACAGACTGGTGTTCCTGCTGGTGGGGAAGGATGTAGGCTTTGGTGATTCTGAAAACCAGCCAGTGGGAAAAAAGACATAGACCCCAACCTGTTCAAATCCCAGCCTCCTAAAGATGGTTCATATGCTAACATATAAGAAAAGAATGAGTTGGGCCTTGTTGCACACATTTAAACATGAGAGCAACAGTTACATGTTTAATAACATCTAGCCCAGTGTTGTCTCTCCTGTTAACTCAGGGTGAGGCAACCTCTGAAGGTCCAGCAGCAACTCTTGCTTCCCCCAAAACCTATAAGGGTTTTGTGGCTGCTCTGCTGCGAATTTGCCATGGACATTTGGCAGTGTGGCCGCAAGGAAAAGCTCCATTTCTCTTTAAAAATTGCCCTTTTCTGCTTTTCCACCACTGGATTTTGGTGGCAAAATGTCACCCTTTTAAAATATGAAATGGTCCCCCTTTCCCTGCTTTGCTGCCAGCTCAGTGGACATGGCTGCATGTGCCCCACATCTTCTCAGTGCTGGAAATGCTCCAGATTGAGCGTAAGCCCTCCTGCCTCTTCAGGTTTTCTGTTTCTGTCATGGGCCAGTAAGCCCTCTCGTTTTGCATCGCTGAGGTCATGGATGCTGCCCTGGGGCCGCCTCTTATGCTGCCACAACCAATCACGTCCCAGGCAGAGTGCACCTTTCCCCCTTTGCAAAGACCTTGCTAACTGGGAAAAGCGCTGCATTACCCACTAGCAGTAGCGCAGCGTCAGTGCTGGAAGAATCCAGCATTCCCTCGAACAGAAGTGCATCCTTGGAAGATGACAGGTAGGACAAATGAGGACCAACCGTTCATGGTCCGTGCGATGGTCTCGCAGGCACCGGATGAGAGGAGAAACCACCCTGTGGAACCCTGGCTGTGACCACGCTGGCATTGCAACGCAAGTGGTGGTGGAGAAGAAGCTTTGGAAGGAGGAAGGGAAGACGCGGCATGACCTCGGCCGTGAGAAATTCATTGAAGCGGTCTGGAAATGGAAAAATGAGTGAGTTACCCTTTGTCTAGCCCCTCATGTGGATTTGTGTATCTTCTCATGTCCTCTCCTGATCCCATGCTCTTCTGTGTCTCTTTTCTGACAGGAAAGGTGATCGGATCTACCACCAGCTGAAGAAACTGGGCTCCTCAATGGACTGGGACAGAGCCTGCTTTACTATGGACCCAGTAAGATCTGTGGCCGAGGGGAGGGACCATGCATGTGGGTGTGCTTCGTTCTGGTGGGGCATCTTCATGCAGATGTTCCCTCAGATGCTTCCTCCCCTTGCAGTGAATCTATAGAGGGTCAATATTTCTATTGGTGACCTGCAGCAGGAGGGGGTTGGGCCCAATGGCCTTCTTGGCCTCCTCCAACTCTGCTGTGTTCTGTGATTCTGTGATCCTATGCCCACAATACTGTTGTGTTGACTGAGCTTTGGATACTTTGCTCTGACTACAGTTAACCAGAGGTCATGGCCAAGCTGAAAATTCCTTGGCTGCTAAAGCCTGAAATTAGTGGTATTTCAGAGTGACCCTAAAAAGGTCTTACTTGGGAATGCACTGGGCCTGATAAAGTACTTCTGTACTCCCAGTGCAGCTTTCTCCAGCCTGAGGCCATCCAGATGTGTTGGATACATAACCCACACATAACCCACAGGCAGCATGGCAGTCCTGGCTGAGGATGATGGTAGCTGCAGTTCAATACATCTGCAGGGTGTTGGGCTGAGGAAGGCTGACCGAGTGGGTTCCGTTGCCTCTTCTCCAGCATTGCTAGCTTCCCACTTCCCCTTTCTTGAGCTGTCAACTGAACCAGGCACTTCGGGCTCATGATGTGACATACTGAGAAGTCTAGGTTGGTAGCCAGGTAGTAAGACATGACTGAGATGACTGTGCCAGCCATCTGACCTAAAGGTGAAGTCTTTTTTACACCTGGGTTTTACTGTTGGGTATAAATTGGCACCTTATGTTATTGTGCAGAAGCAGCAGTCTCAATCATGAAGCACACAAGCCTAGTTCACATTGAACTGAACTGAACTTCGATGACATCCACTGGAGGGTGGAGGGGAACAAACCGAGGGGGTGGTTGAACCTATCAAACTCAGTTAGGTTGATGTTCTCGTTTTTCTGTTGCTGAGATCATTCTGCCCTGATTCCATGCAATGTGGGGGGTTTTTTGGTTTTGTTTTGCTGCATGGAAATTCATCCTATTTTTGTGCAGATTTTTCAAATGCATACATTTCTGCATACATGGACCTATTTATTACATGTATTCACACAGATATTAGAAAGCATGCATTTTTTCTTGGTGCATTTTTCTTTGTGTGCATTCTACTCTACAGGGGTAGAAACTTATTTTTTGTTTTGTGTTACAGAACACATCACAAGCTTGGAAATGTATAGCTTTCTGATTGCAGATTGCTTATAGGTTTGTGTTCGGTTCTGGAAACATAGGAACATAAGAAAAGTCATGCTGGATCCGATTCAGGGTCTGTCCAGCCCAGCAGTCAGCTGCCCCCAGGACCCCCTCCTGCCCCCTTCTGCCCAGCTCCTTGGAAACTGGGTCATGCAGGCACGGCACCTCTTGTAAAGGAAGGAGCACACAGCCAGCAAGACTAGTAGCCGCTGATGACCCCCTCCCTCATGAATCTGCCCAATCCCCCTTTAAAGCCACCCAGATTGGCTGCCATCACCACTTCCTGTGGCAGTGAATTCCAAAGTTTAACTACACACTATGTGAAGAAGCACTTTCTTTCATTTGTCCTAAACGTCCCACCCATCAGCTTCATGGGATGATCCTGAGTTCAAGCGTCTCCCTCTCTACCTTCTTCACTTGATGTGTTATTTTAAAGTCCTCTATCATCTCTCCCCTTACTTGCCTTTTTTTCTAAGGTAATGATGTAAATCAGGAGGTGGGTGGAGACCAGTTCTCCCCTGCAGAGGAGGGCAGGACACATTCCAGTGGAGTAAAGCTTAAGGAACCAAGGTTCAACTTGGATGCCAGGAAGTACTTCCTGACAGTTAGGACACCGAGGGTGTGGAATGGGCTTCCACGGGAGGTGGCTGAGGCCCCGTCGGTGAGGGTGCTCAAGGATAGGCTGGACATGCACATGGGAGGCATGTCATGAGTAGAGCTGGCTAGAGCCAGGGGTCAGACTAGATGGCTCGGGAGACCCCTTCTGACTCACTCTACCACACCTGAAAGTAAACATCCAACAAAATACTTACCTGTCCCTATTGTTTAATATTAAACAACATTTCTCAGTGTCCTTGTGTCGCCAACAGAAACTCTCTAATGCCGTCCAAGAGGCTTTCATCCGGCTTCATGAGGAGGGGGTCATCTATCGAAGCAAACGCCTGGTCAACTGGTCGTGCACCCTCAACTCCGCCATCTCAGACATCGAGGTAAAGCCAGGGCAGGCACAGCCACTCTCTTGCTCCAGCCTTACACCACATGAACAGAGTCTATACTGAGTCTTGGGGTCTGCTTTTTCCCAGGTGGATAAGAAAGAGCTAACAGGCCGAACCCTCTTGCCTGTCCCTGGCTACAAAGAGAAGGTTGAGTTTGGGGTGTTGGTCTCCTTTGCGTACAAAATTGCAGAGTCAGGTAGGTGAGCAGGCTGGCTGGCACCTGGGCACAGATCAGAACCAGAAGGCTTTCTCCATGACTCTCAGTTGGCTGCATTCTGGGGGACCACAGTCTTGGAGAGGAGCAGTCAATTGCTGTTTTCCTTCCCAGATGAGGAAGTTGTAGTGGCTACAACCCGTATCGAGACCATGCTGGGGGACACAGCAGTGGCAGTCCACCCCCAAGATCCCCGGTACCAGGTAAGCAACCCTAAGGACAAAGATGGTGTAGTGCAGAGGTGGGTAACTTGAGGCCCAGGGGCCAAATCTGGCCTGTGCTTTCCCAGTGCTCCAAGGGACCATTTTCACTAAGCACCAATCCTGTTGTAGTTTCCTGGCTTTTGTGCAGTCTTGCCCCCTCAAATGTTGAAATGCATCTGTAGCTAATCTGATAAGCTACAGTGTCCTGTTTTTTTAATATTTAGTTCCACCACTTTTTCTTTTGGCCCCACCCACACTGGAATATGGTTCCTTGAGAAATTCTTCAAAGTTGAATGTTGCCTTTGGGCTGAAAGGGGTTTCCTCCTTGTGGTGTACTGTTATGGTTTAGAACTTGATCACAGAGATCACAGAATTACAGAATAGTTGAGTTGGAAGGGGCCAAGAAGGCCATCAGGTACAACTGCCTGCTGTTGCAGGACACCCAGTTTACACCATCCCAGGATCAATTGTAAGCTCAACGACAGAACCAGACCTTTAGGCATACAAGGGTTTTATCAAGTATTGCTGCTCCCTCATTCCCAGATGTGGTCAGGATGACCAGACCGATTAGGGCAACCTTCTTATATTTGCCCAGGAATGGGTGCATTGGCTCTCTGTTAACCACCTCCCTTGTTGGAGGAGAGCCAGGGATAAATGCCTAGCTCTACCTCGTAGATGACAAAACAAGAACCTGCCTCCTTGGGTAGCGAGATATGTAGAGGGTGGTTTGAGACAGGAAGCTGTGATTTGGGGCTGAGAGTGGCAAGAGTTGAGCATTGAGTTATTGGGGGAGCTAGCATGGAATGAAAGCGTTTTAAGGACTTGTGGGGTGGGGTGTGGGCATCCAAAACACTAAAAGTAGAGCGTATTCTGAGTTATCTTTTCAGACTGCTCGTTATTTGGATGATCTGGAATACGTCAGCAAATCTCTTCCTCTCTCCCAATTTGTGTTCCAGCATCTGCATGGCCAGAGTGCCCTGCACCCCTTCACTGGACGGCTCTTGCCCATCGTGTGTGATGACTTTGTAGACATGGAGTTTGGAACTGGTATGTGGGGTCAGAGGCTGGCTGGCAGGCAGAGGGGATGGGCATCTCTTACCCCCATTTAAAAGTCACGGCTTTGCTGGCTGCAGATTAGCTCCACCCGCTAGAGGGATTGTCTTGAAATGATTAAGCATAGAGGATCATTCCTGTTGTATATATGTTTGTTCATTAGAAACTCAGGTAGGAGGATCTTAGGTGGGATTCTGAGTGTTTCTAGAATAGCCTTCTCTGACTTTTTTTTTTATTTTTGATTTATATCCTGCCTTTTTCCTACAAAGGGCTCAAAGCAGCTTACATCATTCTCCTCCTCCATCTTATCCCCACAACAACAACCCTGTGAGGTAGGTTGGGCTGAGAGTCTGTGACTGGCCCAAAGTCACTCAGTTGGCTCCATGGCTGAGCGGGGACTAGAACCCAGATCGCCTGAGTCCCAGTCCCACGCTCTTAACCACACCACACTGGCTCCAGATGAAGCTATAAGCCCCATTTTCCCATTTGACATAGTGGCTGGCTGTGATGGGAACTGTAATCCCCACATATATGGAGGGCACTGGGTTCAGGAAGGCAGATTTAGAGGCTGCTTTAGGAGGTTCCTTTAAAGAATGAAAGACTTGAGGAGGGAGGGGAAAGAGTATAAGGCAGTACAGCTCTGGAAGTGTGATAAAACGGGAGGAGTCTGCAAAACAAACAAACAAACTGGAAAGATGCGGAATGGGGATGAAAGCAAGGAGATGAGGAAAAGAGGGCTTTGGTGCTAATGGACAGGTAGGAAGGGCATCTGGCCAGCGCCATGGCTTTGGCTGCGTTTTAGAAGCAAAACGGATTGCCGGGGAATGCTTGTCGTGGGCTGCTTGCATGATGTGGCAACCTGAGCGGTGGCTGGACATGCGAGCCGGTGTCTGCCTGTGCCCCAGGTCATTGTGGGTTAAGCCCGCCAGGTGTGCATTACGTGAGGGCTAAAGAGCCCTCCGCTCTGGGTTAAGGCGGGTCTCTTTAATCCTCAAGGTTATGTGACCCACAGGCAGCAGGTTGCATGAACAACAACCCCCAAGCAGGGCTGGAGCTGTAAAACAGTGGCCACTCAGACCACAGCTTCACCATGTGATAAATAATCCATGGTAGGCTGTTCTGTCACGTGAACGGTGCCCCTGAGACCGATCTGAGTGCGTTCCTTGGGCCACAGTCTGCATGAAAAGGAACCTTTTCTCCTCTTGCTGTTCTCAGGTGCTGTGAAAATCACACCAGCTCATGATCAGAATGACTATGAGGTTGGCCTGCGTCACAAGCTTGATTTCCTCACCATCATTGATGAGGATGGCCATCTTGTCAACGTGCCCCCTCCATTCTTGGTACTGACGGGATGAACAGGGTGCAGGGGTGGACCTGGGAGGAGCTCTTTGTGTGGGATCGCTGTCTGTATTGGCTCACATGGGCTGCACTTTAGCTTCAAGTGTCTGATTGGCGAGCGTCCCATAACTACGTGACCCACATGCCCCTTCCAGCCCTGCTCTCACCTGCTTTGTATCATCTTCTTCTCCAGGGCATGAAGCGGTTTGATGCCCGCCGAGCAGTGCTGCAAGCTTTGAAGGAAAAGGGGCTCTTTCGAGAGGTAAAGGACAACCCCATGGTGGTACCCATCTGCAGGTGAGGAGAGGCATCCCTTTAACTGGCCTAGGAAACCTTGTCCATAGTGGAATGTCTCTGCTCTCCAGGGAGTGTCCCGAACAGGAGTGCAAACTTTAATTCCAGTGTTTGGAAGACTGCATCCTTCAACTGATTAGAATGGGTTGGGTGGACCCCCTGCAAGCCTTTTTCTGGAGGGAGGTCCATATTGAGACACCTTTGGTGAAAGCATCCTCGCCTTCGTTGCCACCAGCTTGGCTTCTTATCATGGTGGGAAGAGCTTTCTGTTTGGGCAGGTTAATCCAAAAGACATGAATCCTTAAGCTACCCAAGTCCAGCTCCTCTCAGGTAGCCAGGTTTTGACCTTCCTTAAAAGGGCTTTGAAAGTCAAAACTGGTGCCTTGAGTGGCTCAGAAGCAAGTTGGCCATTGGGGCAGATCTCTCCGAGTCGGCCAGGTATGTTCCCAGTGAGCCAGCCCAGTCCCAGTGCTGGCCACAGTGTTTCAGATGAGTCAGAACCTCTGGCCTGTCTTCAATGGTAGGCCCACGCCTGGCAAGCTCTAACTGGATTGTTACCGTAATGTGGAACACTTGCCAGACTACCTCATATGGGGGCAGAGGTCCCAGCAGGCGCACAGTGGGTCATGAGTGCTCTGAGCCCCCAAGGACACCTGTGTCCTGGGGACAAAGCCTGGAGCAAGGAATATGCCACAGCTCCCAGTCTGATCTTTCAGGGGGAGTTTGCCCACTCCACTTCCCTGAATCCGCTCATAGCACCTCCACCTTAGAAAGTCCTTGTGAGAGGTGCAGCTTTTCAATCTCTCCCCACTTGACCACATTGCCTCTGTCTCAGAAGGAAAGAGACTGAACAGGGTAGCAGATAGAGGCCTCTCTCTGAACAGGGGCTATCTGTAATTGGAAATGGGGGGGGTGGTATCTGGATTAGGGAAGGGGATATTCAGGGGGAAAGGGGAATATTGGAAGGTAGCAGATGCTCTTCATTAGTCAGACTTGATGGGTAAAAGGGTGTTTTGTGTGAAGAAAAGGTGACTCTATGAACAGGTGAAAGGTTATCTGGACTACAGGGCTTGGGTTCGAGAGGGTACTATCCCATAGTGGAGATAACTGTAAACCAGTGGCACTGGCTGCGTTTTTGGGCCAGCAGTCATTCTGATTTCCTCTTTCCTTCCCGATACTACAGCCGTTCCAAGGATGTGGTGGAGCCACTGCTGAAGCCCCAGTGGTACGTCCGCTGTGACACAATGGCCCGCGGAGCAGCCGAAGCAGTGCGCCGGGGGGATCTGCGCATCGTGCCGGACTTCCACCTCAAGACCTGGTTCAACTGGATGGACAATATCAGGTGAGGCGCTCGGGCAACGCCTTCGCCCAGCGACTCTGCAGAACAGGTGGCAAATGAAGGAAAGGCGTACAGCACTGGGGAGAAGAGCAGCGGGGAGAAAAAGTTGTTCGTGGCAGTAGGAGGGGCAGCTGAAGAGAAGGAGATGAGAGCCAGTGTGGTGCAGTGGTCAAGAGCCTGGGACTGGGACTCAGGCGACCCGGGTTCGAGTCCCCGCTCAGCCATGGAGCCAACTGGGTGGCTTTGGGCCAGTCACAGACGCTCAGCTCATCCTACCTCACAGGGTTGTTGTTGTGGGGATAAGATGGAGGAGGAGAGATGATGTAAGCTGCCTTGAGCCCTTTGTAGGAAAAAGGCAGGATATAAATCATAAAAATAAATAAATAATAAAAAACCCCAAACAAACCTGAGGAAAAAGACGAGAAAGCAAGCGAGATGAAGCATTGGAGGCAGAGTGAACACGGGCAATAGTAGTAAGCATTGAACCTGCAGCAAATGGAGTGCAGTTTTAGCCAGCCAGGTGTACACACGCATGTGCAAAGCTACTGGTTCACTAGAAATTCTGTGCACACGTTACGGTTCCTTCATACTCCATGGCCACCTAGGATGCTCGGTCCCCCTTGGGGTGGCTATTCTTGAGGGACTGTCCCTTTGGTTCCCTCCCTCAAGATTTTTGATACCTCTGCTACCCGTTTCGATCACACATGCTGAATCCTCACCCTTGTTCCTCAGCGAACCTATTTTGGCCATGTGGCCATTGGCACTCAAAAGCCGAATTTAGTGTAAGAAGGCATGATGGATGGAGAGGAGCATTTTATGTTCACACTGACTATTGTGTAACTAGTCACACCAAGCCATGCGCACACAAAAGATCAAGAACACATTCTGGTCATCCTTTTGTAGGGAAACAAGAAAAGACAAGGCAGGACGTTTGGGCAGGGGGAACCAAATGAGTTGCAGTGAGTTTTAAATACAATAAAGTGGATTGGACTTTCTGCCTATGTGGTAGACTTGGGAGATAATTAAAAGATTTTGGAAGGTGATACATGCGGGAATACAAAAAAAACCCCTTAAAAACCAAGTTTCCTATGAGTCCTAAGAATAGGCTTTTGAACATTATACCAGTGACTTTTTTAAAGAACATGTCAGAATTACTCAAATACATGACAGCTGCAGCAAGAATTACAATTTCTTCTAAATGGAAAACACCAGAATGCCCAACAATCGAAGACTGGAAAAATAAGTTGAGTATGCAGTGATGGCAAAATTAACTAATTATGTAAACAAAAGACCAACTGAAGAATTTAATGATAAGTGGAAATTGTATTATATCCAGTATAATTCATTGCAGTGAGTTTGACTACCAGACACCAGAACCATATTGTATTATTATCCCAATTCATTTTGGCAGGGAAATGTGCAGAGTTTGGGATTGGTTTCTGTGTGCTTGTGTATGTGTTCATTATTTAATTAGTTGTATTAACTCATTTTAATCAATGAGATGAAGGAAATGTTCCTATTCATTGGCAGTCTCCCTAACTGTTCCTCATTCATCGTAAGAACAATGCTTACGATAACAATGCATATTTGTTACACTTCTTTTATCTTAGGAGTGATGTTTGGAGTAACTAATCCATTATTCTGTTGTATGCATTTCTTTGCCAGAATGAACTGGAATGGAATGCTGTGGTTTTGGTCCTTCGTAGTGAAGTTCTTGCTGCAGTTTTTCAATTCCCACAACGTCCCAGCTCACTTTGATTCTCTGCCCTACCCTGCCCCCCCATAGAGTCCTGCATGTTTTGTTCTTCAGGGGTGCACATGTGTGTTTAGGTTCACCAGAAATTCTTGGACGGGACGCGACACTTTTATGCTCCCTTTCTCCCTCTCCTGCTCTAGGGATTGGTGTATTTCTCGGCAGCTGTGGTGGGGCCATCGCATCCCAGCGTATTTTGTGATGGTTAATGACCCTTCAGTGCCACCAGGAGAGGTAAGACCTCTGGGCCATTGTGGGCAGGCAGTGATGGGAGGGCCAAGCGGCTGAGGAAATGGGATGCAAAAAGCATTTGGGACCCGTGGAAGCATAAGCATCCTGTGGGAGTGTGGCTGGGGAACGGAGAGCGGTGTTGGAGAAATGCAGGGGAAAGTGCTATCTTTCTTTCAGTGTAGACCTCTAAGTAAGATACTGAGTACTGCGAACAGAACAGCTCTGCCACGTTAAGTTAGGATCACTAATTGGAATAAAAATAATTGGTATATGTGTAATCTCTCCCCATCTCCCTTCCCAGAATTAGCATGTTGGACAGCCTCCAGAGGTTTTAGACTAAAACTTCCATTAGCCCCCTCCAGCATGGTTACTTGTTAGTGATGAGGGGAAGTTGTGACCCAGAACAGCTGGAGGGCAACAGGTTGGGAAAGTCTGATGAAGAACATGATCAAGGGCAGTGAATTTTATGACTGCTGGCAGGTGTGCTCCATGCATACATTCTCATTTGTGGCTTTCCAAGTATCTCAGGCAGAGGGAAGTTTTCTCTGGCCTTGCAGCCTCAGGTTTAACCAGATTTTTAAAGTAGAGATGCTGTAGATTTAGGCTGTAATCTTGTTTGTCCAAGCAATGTACCTGCTTTGCCGCTCCTCCAAAATATGTGCTGAAATCTGGATTTTCCATACTAATGATAGATCTTGACTTTGTTCTTTTGGCTCTTGTATGCCATTGTAATATGGAATATTCTATTTTGCCAGATTTTATGCACAAATAAGATATTAAGTGTACCCTTCTTTGTAACCCTGGTTGTGTTTGGACAGTAATGTCTTGGCAGAATGACCCAAGATGTGAACGAGCATTTTCCCAGCATGCAGACCATTTGCTTTTCCTTTTCCATGGGCCAGGATTCAACTAAGATGCCTCCTTTTAGTCTGAACTGGAAAACTATGGTAGACTGTTCCCAGACAAGCCAAGGTATTAAACCAGCTTCAAAGTACTCTTTTATATCATGGCTTGCTTAGAAGTTGTTAACCATAGTTTCCTGGTATGAGTGTCACAAGAAACTATAGCTGATTGAAGCCTTCCTGGTTCCTGTGCTTGCTTGCTTGTGTGTGTGTGTTTGGGGGGTGGGGGTGGGGTGGGGATAAAGTGACTGTGTGAACAGTCAAAGGGCTCATTCAGATCTAGTAAGCCAAGTTATAATTGTCTGAACATGACCAGGGTGCAGTGGCTTCTGGTGAAAGATTGTATTATATCAGGTGTAAATAAACTATACACTTTGTTTATTATCCTTAAAAAGGCATCTGTGTTGCAGTTGTGATAATAAGAGTCATACACTGATAATGTATCTCTCAAGTAAATTAATCTGCTAGTGATTCATTTTTAATCAAGCAACTTTATAGGTAACTTTATAGCTTTGGCTTCTTTCTGAATGGGGCTGGTGAGCTATTTTAAGCAATCTGTTGTTCTCCTTCCAGGACACTGATGGTAAATACTGGGTAAGTGGCCGAAGTGAGCAAGAAGCAAAAGAGAAAGCAGCCAAAATCTTCAAGGTGACACCGGATAAAATCTCTCTCCGGCAAGGTACAGCAGATTGAAGTTTGGCAGGAATTATTTAAAAAAGTTGAAAGCAGCTGAAACCCCACAGCAAGAGGGGGGAGCATGCTACATTTTGCCCCTCAAATAAAGGGTGGGTACACACCTGTTATATATTTACTGATTTATTTAAAATATGTGTACCTTGCCCTTTCCTTACATACTTCTAGACCATTTTTCTGTTAGTCTATCACTGCCTGCTCTGACAGGTGAGGGCATCTCAAGGGTTTGGGCATGGTGTCTTTCCCAACAACCTTGTAGCTTGTGATCTTTTAACTGGACACTCAATCTCTCTCATTTGTGCTGGTTACTTCCTTTTTCTTAACCTCTGCGTACAACTCTTGCTGGGCAGTAAGTTGCTCATTTTTGAACAGAAGCTGGCTTGTCAGCATTCAACACACACATGTGCTCTAGCCCCTCCTCCTCTTGATGGCTCTGTGTGTTTCTTATGCCCCATTTCCAGATGAGGATGTCCTGGACACTTGGTTCTCATCTGGACTGTTCCCTTTCTCCATCTTTGGCTGGCCAAACCACGTAAGTCCAGTTGTCAAGGAGGATTGTGAGAATGGGTAATGAATGTGTGTATTTACTTTTCATTCCCCCCCAGATTTCATTAATTCATTCCAACCCTTTTGTTTCTCTTCTAAGAGTGAAGATCTCCAGGTTTTTTACCCTGGGACTCTCCTGGAGACAGGACATGATATTTTGTTCTTCTGGGTGGCCCGCATGGTCATGCTGGGCCTTAAACTTACTGGGAAGTTGCCATTCAGAGAGGTGAGAAAGATGCTTAATCATTTTCTTCCATGGCACTGACACCCCTGACTCGTGTTCTTCATAGCTTAGGTTGGTCACAGAGGCTTATATTGCATGCAGAGGGAACACATGGACAATGCAACTCATGTAAGCTAATGTCTGATGTGTACTTCTGTGTGAGGACTTTTGCTTGAACTGTTAAAAAAAAAAGGAGGCAACCAAAAAATGGCTGCGATTTTCAGGTATCGTATTGCTCTGTACAACTGCTTACTTATCTCTTCTTGGTTGCCCTTGTACTCATTTGATTCAATTTCAGTCCTCCTATCCTTGGCGTCAGAGCCAAGGAAGGGGGAAACCAGAGTGCCATTCGGCCCATTTGGCGGAATCAAATCAAATAAATTAATAAATGCATTTGGCCGCCTTGTGACTGGAGAACATGAGCTGGGGCTGCTGGGACTTTGCACCTCTGGACACACTCCTGTTCCACATTCTTGTTGCTGAGCTCTGCCCAACCTCAGCCGGAGCAATTGATGACGGGAACCAGCACGCTCACTCTGTCCCTCTTCATTTGTGATCCCCTGGGCTTGAAAAAACCATTGTCACGTGTGAAGCAGGTCATGGAGACGAAGCTTGAATGTGTCCAATTGCTGTTGATAATGTATGCATGGTTTGCCTGGTGTGTCAGCAGGGGAATGCCTAATATTTGAAATGCCCCTAGGGATCCATGGGCTTGGGCAAGATTCAGAACTGCAGAGCTTTCTCCTCTTGCTGCCCAGGCATCTGCTCCCAGCACCCCTCTCCCAGTTGCCTTTCTGTGGTCCCTTTCCAGGTTTACCTTCATGCAGTTGTTCGGGATGCGCATGGCAGGAAGATGAGCAAATCGCTGGGAAACGTGATAGATCCACTGGACGTCATTACTGGCATTACACTGGAGGTGACTTTTCGTATTAGGCGGGGATGCACCTATTTCAGGCTTGTGGGATCAACTTTGTGGTTTTTTAGAGCCCCGAGATCCACCAGTTGGAGCCTGGGGCAGAACTAAAGTGTTCTGAGCCCAGGAAATTGTTTTGAGTAGAAAACTAAAACTGATCAGCACTCACAGTCCTTTCATATGGCGTCCCTCTCCTTGTTTACCCCAAGCTTCTTCCGTTTCGGCAGTGTTCCTGTGTTGCTGTTTCACCCTATGAAAGACCAACCTTTTCTTCTCTGCCTCTGTAGGACCTGCACGCTCAGTTGCTAGAGAGCAATTTAGACCCAGCTGAGATAGAGCGAGCAAAGCACGGGCAGGTAACCCATTTTCCTCCCTTTATTGCTGATGTTTGTCTAATGCTGATGGTGCGCTGGACAATGTTCTGAACTCTCTCTCTCACATAATAGCTTTGTATCTAGTTAGATAAATATTCCTGGAAAACAATTCAGTTGGAGGCCAGTCTAGTACTCCTGGACATGATAATTCTGTCTGTTTAAGGGAATGCTTTAAGACAGGAATCCTCAGCCTTTGGAGTTAGTTGAGGGATAGAAACAGAGTAAGTCAGAAGGGACCTCCTGGGCCATCTAGTCTGACCCCTGGCTCCAACCAGCTCCATTCATGGCATGCTGAATGCTCTCACAAAATAACTGCCATGGGTGGGGGGGATGTTGCCCATTCATAAAATGGCTGCCCTGTTGGTTGTGGCTGGTCACAAACATTTCCCAGAAAGCAAACTGGGAAGACTGACAAAAAGGTAACTTTCCCAAGAACCTAAGTTCAAGACAAGAGGCTGAGTTTGAACTCCAAAAAATCCACCAAAACAGTCTTTTGAACCCAAATAAAGATGGTGCTTGAGGGCAGTGGACTCCGGGGGATGGTGGAGGACAGGAGAGCCTGGAGGAATGTTGCCCACACAGAGGACAGTATTTTGCTTTGGAGAACACAAGCTTCACATTATTTTTTTAAAAAATAAGTGTTCTGACTTTTAAAAGTAAAAAATGGAGCAAAAACCAGGAGCGACAGGTAGTCTGGCAGAGCCCAGTCCCTGGGCATATTGTTTGAAGACCCAAGCTTTTAAGACCAAGATGGTGGACCAGGAGTCCTAATAGGAGAAATGTCAGTAGGGATGTACTAGAATTTTAGTTTGCAACTAACTCAGAAAATTTGCCATCTCAAATGGGAGTTCATGTTCCTTTAAAATACCTGCAAATTTCCAAACTTGCTTTCATATTCACAAAATGTGCACTTTCTCAAATGTGGAACATTCTCACATTTAAAACATGCATGTTCCAGTTTATGAGGGAAATTTGTGCAAATTTGGGCATGACTGGCACAACACCCAATAACAACAGTTTTGCACAACTTTCCTGTTTGCACAAAATAAAAAGCAATCATTAACAGGAGCACTGGTTGAGGAGATACGAGCGGTGGGCTGATGTTCAGGGAATCTTGGAGAGCTCAAACATCATGTGTTTGCCTGTGTCTGTGGGGGTGTAATATGTACCTCTGATTGCTTCACAGAAATCGGATTACCCCAGTGGCATCCCAGAATGTGGGACAGATGCACTTCGCTTTGCTCTCTGTGCTTACACTTCTCAAGGTCATTATCCTGCCTCCATCTGAAAGGCGGGCACACCTTTTGCTACCTCATTCTTGGCTTCTACTTTTTTTCTTGCTGATGTCACAGAGTTCCCCTTTTTCCCCACAGGCCGGGATATAAATCTAGATGTGAACCGGATTCTGGGCTACCGGCACTTCTGCAACAAACTCTGGAATGCAACTAAATTTGCCATCCGTGGCCTTGGGGATGGATTTCAGCCACAGCGCAGCCCAGGGGTGAGCCTTTCCTCATGGTTCCCTGTGGCATTCATCCCCCCCAGGCCCCAAATGCTCCACAGTGAGGTGTGACAGTGCTGGTGCTGCAGTGAGCTCAGCACAGACTGTGGCTGGATGGACACGTCCCTCTTCCTTACCTGCTTGTGTCCCAGCTGACACCCTCCTCTCCTACTCATGCGTCAGGGCCACGAGGAGCATGTCCTTATGAGCACACTTGGTCTCTTGCAGCCCACCGGATCAGAGAGCCTCATTGATGCTTGGATCTTGAGTCGCCTGAGCCATGCTGTGGAGCTGTGCAACCTTGGCTTCCAGGCCTATGACTTCCCTGGCATCACCACAGCAGTGTATAACTTCTGGCTCTATGAGCTATGTGACGTCTACCTGGTAAGTGGAACCTCTGAGAGCACTTTGTTGCCTTTCTGCTCGAGAGGTGCAACCATTCTGCCTGTGAGGACAGTGCAGTAATACTCATATAAGCCGCTGAGCGTAATGGATGGAGGCTTGTTTTAAAAGTGCTCGTTTCAAATCAGTGCTCTGCCATGAAGCTCCTTGCACAGTATAAATCACATCCTGGTCTATTTTAAAGAGCTGTCTTGGGAACAAACCTGCTTCCAGGCATGGCATTTACCATGCCAACGCCCTGCCTCATTACCAGGTGTCTACAGGGCGTTCAGATGATTTCATCTTCCACTTGTAACCTTCCTGTATTTTCCCATTTTTCTTACATCTTTTTCCTTGCCACCAAAAATCTCTTAACAAAGAGAGGATGGAACAGCTGCACAGTGTCCTTAGACTGGTAGTACTAAGAGTCCTCTAGCTGGAAGCACCCTAAAAACTATTCTAAGCTCTTTCGATGGAGGGATAACTTGCTTCATCCTTCCTTCACCAGCCCTCTCAGTGAATGGCCTTTTATTTTTTCCCAGCCTGGTAGAATGCTAGTAGCCACAGGCGAGAGCAGCGGATACTTTCCATGCCCCAAGGTACTAGTTCCTGAGCAGGCTTGTCGAATTATATATGTAGAGGGAGTACAGTGTGTGTGTGTGTGTGTGTTCTCTTCCCATGCACACCCTCCTGGACCCTAGGATCATCTTCAGCTGTTCTTTGAGTGCCTGCCACAAAGAAATCAGACAGGTGCCTACTAGGAAGAGGGGCTTTTCTGTTGTGGCATCGCAGCTGAGCTTCCCAGGGAGGCTGTCTGACACCTACATTGTGGTCTTCTTGTGAAGATCTCTTTTTCCCCCAGTTGAACGCATTTTAATCTTTGCTCTGGTGCTCAGTTTTGCCCTGCATTTTGTCCTTTATTTTATATTATGGTTTTAACCTTTTAGTTTCAATTGTTGTGAAGTACCCAGAGAGCTTCCTTATATTAGGCAATATAGAAATGTAATAAATAATGCCTGAGCTTTGCTTTTCTCCTCCTCCCTTTTAATACCTTTTCTTTTTAGCTGTTTTATTATTAATCCACATAAGCTACTTTGTGAGCCTTTTTTCCTGGCACAAAAGCAGAATAAAATGCTGTAAACAATACTTGTTTGTTTGTTTGCAGGCTAGTAACTTCTGTGGGCTTATTTACAAGGCTGTGTTACATTAAAATCCTCATACCCTTTAAAATTCACTATTTAGGAGTGCCTAAAGCCTGTGTTTGCTGGTCCAGATGAGGCCGCGATCCAGACAGCCCGGAATGTTCTCTACACCTGTTTGGATGCTGGGCTTCGTCTTCTCAGCCCTTTCATGCCATTTGTCACAGAAGAGCTGTTCCAGCGGCTGCCCCGAAGGTCTCCTTCCTCTGATCCACCCAGCATCTGCGTCACCTCTTACCCCAGCACAGAGCAGGTAACACAGTGACAAACTCTCAAGCTTCTAGCCAGAATCATTGTGGAAGGAAATCCTAGAGGTATATGTTAGTGTGTGTGTGGGAGAGAGAGAGATTATACCTGAGTGTGAAGCAAACAGCAAAACCCTAAATAAAGGTACTTTTTATCATGGTATTTTATTTTGAGACATTGGCAAATGCAAGCCAAAAAAAAAAAAAAATCAGGAACACTAAGTATTGCTACACATTTATTTTATTACAAGTGTTTAATTACTTAAAACACCATTTCCCTGGCCATCGTCAACAGCAGGAGAATAAATGCTTGAACATTCCTCATTTTGTTCCCAGAGCAAAAAAAATGATTATTCACTGCAAGCTGTGCTGATGTCATTCTCAAATTGCGATGCCAAAGATCTCACTAAACCATTAATCCTTTTTCTGACTTGCTTTAGTGCTGCTGGCGGAACGAGGGCTTGGACCAGACCATTGACTTCGTGCAGAGCATCATTAGAGCGGTCCGCTCACTCCGAGCAGACTACAACCTCACCAAGACCAAAGCTGACTGTGAGTGCAGGCTGTTAGGAGAGGGAAGGGTTCTTGCTTGATGAAAGCAGAGGGAACAAAGGGCAATATTAACCAGAACAGCTACTGGAAACCAATTGCATTTGTATGACACCCCTTGCTTTGCCTATTTTTCTCTGCCTCAGCTAGTCTTAAGGAAGGCGCCAAGGGGCTGTACAGAGTCCTTATAGGCTTTGCTCATGAACAACTCAGATCTTGTTCATTCCCTTTTCCAGAGTCTGAGACTTCATAAAGCATTGTTCATATGGTTCAGGACCATCTTCACAATTTTAAGGGCTAGAAACATTTTTTTAAATCTGTGATGCTTTGGGATGCTGAATTCTGCACCGAATATCATTTCCTGGGCTTATGCAGAATTGTGGAATTCCCAGAAGCCTAGAAGGAGGAAATTAGAACTTGAAGGGCAAAAGAAAAAGAGAAACAAGTAGAGTTTGGGTGCCAGCAAACCGGGATGTCTGGCCACGCTTCTACAAGTGATTTAAGCAACCCTTTAGAGGGGCAAGGCTGAGCAACTGTGCAGTTACTCAGAACTGTTTGCAGTTTTTCCATCCTAGTTTAGCACTTGGATGGAATAATTAAGATGGTGCTTGCAGTGGATCTAACTCATGAGGAGAAGGATAAAAGAGTAGATCAAGTCTACAAAGAATATAGGAGGCTACAGTCAGTCCTCTCTGCTCCCCCGCCCCCGTTACCTTTATGTCCTTTTCTCTACTTCTCAGGTTACTTGCAGTGCCTGGACCCTGAGACAGCAGAGGCCGTGACTCGGTGCTCTGAATACATCCGCACTCTCTCTTCCTCCAAGGAAGTGCTGGTTCTGGATCCAGGGCAAGCGCCCCCTTCTGGCTGTGCTGTCGCTATTGCCTCTGACAAATGCACTGTCCACCTTCTGCTCAAGGTAACAGAAGGCCGATATCCTCGGATCTTCAAAGCTCAGCAGTTTTCTTCCTAATTTTAGGAAACAGCCTGTAGTTCCTTTCCCTCCTCTGTCACCATGTTGTTCTCAAGCTGCATATCCGCAGCATATCTACAATATTTAGTATGCAGCTGTAAATCTGTTATCTGGCATAGAATTAGGTCCCTCAAGAAAACCATTTTTCTATTCATCATGGGTATGAAAAACGGTATGGATAAGGTATGGTGAAAACTTAGGCCTTGAATGGGTTTGAGCCTGAGGCTCTAGTATCCGTGAGAGTCCATCTCTCTGTCCTGTCCAACGGTTACTATTCCCAGACACCTTACTTTACTACCCAACTCTGTCTAACCCCAGTCTTCAAAAGCAGCACACTATTTAAGTAGATTTAATCATAATTACCATAGCACACAGTGGTGTTTGTTTCTTTTCTGAAACTTTCATGGGGAGAGTGCACTCTTGCTTTGCAAATTTATCTCAAAAACCATGAGGGACGAGGAAACTAAAAACATTAGGCCATGCTGTATAAGAAACATCTAAACAAATATTCTGCAGTGCAGTGTCCACAGCCCATCTTCTTTGCAGCGAGGATGTAGGAAGTGTGTTGTATTGGCCATTGGGAGCAGACTTACTCTCCATGTGCTCTATTAGTGTGCACCGTGGTTTTCCCTGTACCTTTCTGTCCCCCATGCCAGGGTTTGATCGATGCTGAGAAGGAGGTCTCCAAACTGGCTGGTAAAAAGGCAGAGCTGCAGAAACAAATCCTGCGATTGCGTGAGCGTATGGATAGCCCAGACTATGCAGCTAAAGTCCCTGCCAAAGTCCAAGAGGCAGATGCTGCCAAGGTAACAAATCACCAACACTAGAATGCTGAGCTGTGGCCCATAATAAGCCCCGGGGTAATGGACGCTTGGAGCAGAGGGTGTGTGCTCTCATCAGGAAACACAGGTGGGCTCTGTGGCATGGGTTAGGACCAGTACAGATGCCCCAGCAACAAATATATTTTGCTTTTCTTTTCCCAGCTGAAACAAAGTGAAACTGAATTGCAAAAGTCAGATGAAGCCATTGAGAACTTCAAGAAGATGATCTGAAGTTAAAGGGAAGAAACTATGGGACTGTTAGAAAATGTTTATCCTGAGGGGCTGGAGAAGCAACCATTTAAAGCAAGCCCTTGTTTGAGGAAGGAGGACCTCTTTCTTTTTTTGGCTTTACCTGGTTTAGTCTATTTTCGGAAGAGACATTAAAATTATTTTGCTGATTTAGCAGCCTGAATTCTCATTGGTGTGTAGAAAGGCAAGGGGGTGGCAGGTATTTAACGACGCGTAATTTTTTTACTCTGGACTGGTTTGTGTGTGGGTATTTGCTGACTGTAGCCTACACTGTGAACTGATGGCTCTTTTGTGAGTGGTGGTGAACAGATAGTTGTTTCATTATGTCAGATATGCAAGGCTTTTTGACCACGTCATTCCACACATTGAGTTGTCAGTCATCAAGCATCAAATAATAAGAAATCCACTGAAGAATTTGCCATCCAACCCTAAGGGTCTGTTGGGAGTTGTCAGGCTTTTATTCCATTTTTAAATATTCTTTCTCAGGTTTTCCACATTTGTCTAGCAAGGACTGAATTCTGTAGCTTCCTCAAATTACACAGACTTGTGTTGGTTCTCTTATGAGACGAATTCTGTAAAGGAAGCCGTAGCTGTGAGTTTACAAGAGCTGAGCAGGGCTATCGAGGACAAGACATTCTAGAGGGCATCCATTCATAGGGTTGCCCTAAGCTGGACATGGCAGCAACATAACAACACTGTTAATGTATAATATTTTCGCTATTTTGCATGATTTATGCTGGTCATGAGATAGGACATGAAGTTATGCAGGTCATTCAAGATGGGGAGGAGAGTTCTGCCCACTTTCCTCCCTGTGACTAGAAATCTTATGAAGAAGCCAGATTTCAACAGATGTTGCCTAGGCACTTATGTCTTGCTTTCCTGAGGACTTGAAACTTGGTTTCTGGAAGTGTCTCTGCTTTCTCAGCACCTGCCTTCCAAACTGAGGACACACAGATAAGCACAGTCCTGAGTTTAGATCTAGCACTGCAGGGCAAAAGTTTACACACACAGCTCCTTCCTGGGTGCGCTTACGTGGTATGCTCATGTAGCACTTGTGATGTTACATGACAGAACACAGGTATCGTTCTGGCACAAGTCGTGAAATTTGCTTATCTACTTACTCCAAGCCTTCAAACTACAGTGTATGTCTTGCATTACTCCTTTCCTACTTTGCCATCAAGTGCTAAGTCAATATAGGAAAGTGTACCCCAGCCCCTTCTCTCCTTATTGCTCCACAGATCAACATGAAAAAGGTTTCTGTCCCCAAGAGATTCCCAGTTCCGAAGAACCTCAGTGTTTAGTCACACCCCTCTCAGTGTATTCATGCTTTGCCAGCTAAAGTGCTCTTAAGTGGTTGAAAGCATTGCTGCTAAGATTTGGTGAGGAGAACAGTATGTGAGCTGGAACAGGGCTTCTAGGTTCCTCTGCGATTCTTTTTCGGCCTTCTGTAGCCTTGCCCTTAAGCATGGTTTGCATACAGGATTTTTATAGCAGCTTTAATAGAATGGCTATAAGCAGTTGCTGCAGATCAAGGTGCTGTGAAAAGGCACAGCACAGGATGTGGTTGGTCACCCTTACTTCTCCCTCCATTTTCTGAGTTACTGCTAGTCCTAAGAGCCCAGCAACTCTGGCTTCTAGTCTCAGCCCCAGCTGCCTCCCAGAAGACAGAAATCCTAGCTTCTAGCCTACCCACTTGCCTGGTAGGAGCTCCTGCAATGAGTCAGCTTTGCTTGCTGAGCCAAGAATCCACTCTAGGCTAATAAAGAAGAACCTTTTCCCTGATGAGCTAAAATTTCTCTTCTGGATTAGTTGTACTGCAGATGAGAGAGAATGCCTGGACACACCCTTTTAAGTTGTATTGTGCATCCTCCTATGCTCCTTCTAGGCACTCCAGAAGCCAAGCCCTGTGTGCTAATATTTGCTCTCTTCCCCACAACCCACCATGTTGTTTCTTTTAGGGCAACTGCCTGAGAGAACATTTAAGCAAGTAAAGCTTTGGTCATCACTTACATTCTGTCCTCTTTCCTCTTGTGAGGAATCCAAGGTGTAGGTAGGTTAGGCTGAGAGTGACTGGCCCAAAATCACCCAATGAGCCAGATGCAGCACACCACACTGGCTCTTTTTCTGCACACTGGAAAACCTTATAAGCTACCTCAGCTGATCCCCTGTGGGCAACACCCTTGGGCATAGGCAGCCAAATGATCTGGGGCAGCCCTGATGGAATGGCATTTGCCAGAGGAAGGTACCAGACCAATTTTGGGGAAGCCTAATTTAAGGGACACCAGGAAAAGCTCCAGGATCACACAGTCCTGCCCCTCAACAAAAGGGGCTGGCTGGGGGTGGAGGGCCTTAAAGGGCCTGGAGAGGGCTGTCCTCGCTGTGCCCTGAGCACCTCCCTTGCTGTGCCCAACAGGATCGGTGCGTTTGGGGCTGAGGCAAGACTGCTGTCATCAGAACTCAGCAAAAACAGCGGGGAATCTTGTGCCACCTTGGAAAGCAGCCACGCTTCGTCTGATGCCAGCTTCTGCAGATGCCCTGCTCACGTCACCCGAGGTGTGCAGTATTAACCTTAAATTGGCAAAGATGGTTACAGAGCGGTGCCAGATTGTCCATGGATACTTATGCCATAATAAAGCGCTACACGACCGCGTTGCCTTCTGCTGCACAGCCTCGCAGGCTTCGCCTTCTGGGTCTTGCGCCGCGGCCTCGCAGCCCTCCTGCACCTGCCGGACTTAGGCCGGCGCCCTCCGCGGGCGCGCTGCTCGGAAGGGCTCGCAGAAAGCGGGGCGCTGGAGCGGCCCGCCGCCTCCGCGGGGAGCGCTGAGTGGGGAAGCGAAGCCGCCAAGGCCTTGCGGGTGCGGGGAGACGGGGGCAGCCGGGAGCATCGGCGATACCGGGCACGCAAAAAGCCTTCGAAAAGGAGGAGTTGGGGAGCAGGTCAGTGAAGTTCAGTCCTTACCTCAACGAGGCGGGAGGGGGGCGTGGAAGAAAATTTTCCAGGAAGGGAATTAGCTTTTTCCTTTCCCCGCACCGGCTCCTCCGCTATTCAAAAGCAGCCCGAGCCACAGCAACGCGGCAGGTGGGGGCGTCTTCAAGATGGGCGTCTTGAAGGTTTTCTGGGTGTGCCCAGGATCCCCCTGAGGGCACCGCGGCAGAAGCCGGGAGGACGGGGGCGCCAGCCAGCCAGCCAGCCAGCCAGCCAGGGCGGCGGGCGGCGGGCGGCAACTCCAACGCCCGGGTCCCCCTGAGAGGGGGCGCCCTGAGCGGAGGCCGGCCCGGAGCGCTCTCCCCCGCCTTCAGCACCCAGCCCCTTCCCCGCGTTGCTCCGGCTCACGTGTGCTGTAATAATAGCTCGGGAGCTGCCTGCACCCGGCCGGCTATTAATAGGGGCTGGGCGCAAGGAGGAGATCTTGCAGGTCGGCGCCCGAGCCTGTCGCCAAGCGGGCAGAAGGGAAAGGAGGTCCTCGGGGACTCACTCCGGAGTCGTTCCTGTTGCGGAGTCCTCCTGGTAGGTCCTGCTGGGAGTATAGGGGCTTTGAAGTCGGCGGGGGTTGCAGAGTGTCCTCGGAGCCTAAGGCGTTTGGGACACCCCGCTTCTCTTCCTGCATGCAACCTGCTGCAGCATCTTGGCATGACAGACCTCGTTTCTTTCTCCCCTTTCTTAATTTTCTTCTGTTGTGAGGCACCCGCTGTGGCTTAGATAGCTGTCCTCCTCCTCTTTCCCTTCTTTCTTTCTTTTTTTTTGGGGGGGGGTGGGGGCAAGCTCCGGACTTCAGCTTCGGACCCTCACTTGCAACAGAGAAGCAGCCCGCTTCGCTTTCTGGATCCCCTGAAAGATGCCTTTCCCACCCAACCTGGTGCCCTCCTCCCCAGGTGCTTCTGGACTGCGGCTCCCACTAGCCCTGGCCATTGGCCCGCGAGTCCCAAACGTCTGGAGGGCATCAGGCTGCCCTACACCCGTGTTACCTTCTATCTTGCACCTTTTGTGCCTCGTTATCGTTCTGTTTCAATAAGGAACAAAACAGCTCGTGGTGCTGCTGGTATCACTCACTTGGGGCCAGGTGCAACCCAGGCAGGGGTCATTCTCACTGCCCAGCTGAAGGTCTGTGGCTCAGTGCCTGCTAACCATCCTGGTTGCTCTTAATCCTTGCAGACAAGGAGTGGGGATCCATAAAGTGCAACTGGGGACCCCATCCCTGTTTCCAGCATACACTTGCATGTGATGGAGTTCGATCCCAGCATCCCCAAGCAAGGCTAGCAATCCTGCCTGAAATCCTGGAGAGCCGTTACCATCAATGGGAACGGTGCTGGATTAGATGGACTTGTGGTCTAGCTTAGTACAAGGTGGCTTCCTGTGCTCTAACCTGCACTGGCTCTGCGCTGCTGGGGGAAAGGCATTCAGCACTTGCTTACAGGCACTGTTTTTCCTATGGTTCCAGGTTCCTTGCATTTGAAACAAGGACTAAGCTAGGATGCTGGTATTTTCTGGGTCGAATGAAACAATATGGCTGGGGTGACGTTTCGGGGAATGACCATGTGTAACAGGGACACATGTTGCTATTTCCGCGTCTCTGTGGGTTAAAAGCTGTGAAGTGTCAGTGTAACTTGTATGGCAAACGGTTGCATATATCTGTGGACCAAACTAGAAACAGTGCCATTCACACTGTTAGAAGTTTTGGAAATGGCTTTTAAAAAGTAAGTTGTAGGCACTGGGATGGACTGGGACTACAGGAGTGTGTCCGTGTGCATGTGCACACATGCGTGCACAAAGGATCTCTCTCTCTCTCTCTCTCTCTCTCTCTC